CTTATTTTATTATTTTTAATTAATATTATTAATGATCATTCGAGAAATGAGGCATGCAATTTCTTGAGAGAAGAAAACAGAAAAATAGGAGTCATGGGATAGAAACTCATCATTTGTTTTACGTCTGAGGTTTTTTAAAAAAGCTGAGTTCTGCACAACAGGGAGACCACCACAGGCAGATTACAACTGGTTTGAAGATGTGTATAAGAGACAGTATATAGGTAAATGCAGTGTTTGTCAAAGGGACATGATGATACATCCTGTCGCATAGCTCTCAACGAATGTTGTCCTATAAATAGGTAAATACATTGTGTAATAAAATGCCTCTGACGGGACTCGGATTTACATAAGTGTCAGGTATACTCCATTACACAACGGGCATTAAGGTACGGCTGGAAATTAAAAAAAATATAATATATATCAAGATAGCCGTTAACACTGTTAAATTGTATAAATCATCAAAGGTAAAACAGTGTTTGAATAAAGGACATGATGATACATTATGTAGCATAGCTCTCAACGAATGTTGTCCTATAAATAAATGAATAAATACTTTGTGTAATAGAATTCCTCCACCAGGATTCGAACCTGGGCCTCTCGCTGTCAAGATGAGCGTCATAACCATTAGACCATACATGGCTTCATGGTTGACCAGATTTAAATAACTATTAGGTACACTCCATTAAGGTACGGCTGGAAGTAAATAATAACACGCATTGTGTAATGGGAGTGTACCTGATGCTGGATTTTATTGAAAAAATTTGAATCAAAGTAAACAATAGAATACACTTGATTTTGAGTACATTGACACCGCCTAGATAGTATAATACATACTCCAAGTATAGAAATGCACGCCATCATGTCAGGATTCAATATTTCGAACACTAATTATGTCATCATCACCGCATTTTAATCAACTTGGCTGCCATTTCTAGGCTGTCTTGTGGTTGTTTTTCAAAGTTCAAAGTTCAAATTACTGTAAGTTCCATACAACATAAACAAAATTGATACATATAAATGTAAATATAAATATGAATATAAATATAAAAACAAAAAGTTGCATGGAAGGAGACTATAATAAGTGAACTACAGAACTAATATATATAGCCACCTTTACAGAGTTGAAAAAATAGAACCATTAAGACCATAAGTAGAACAAATTACAAGATGCTATTTCAGTAAGTTACTGAAACAAAAATAAAAAACAAGCAATATTTGCCAGGTTTATACATTATAGTTTTGAAGTACAGTAATAAGTATATGTGATCACATATCGGATTTGGGAAAAAAGAGTGACAAGTGTTTAGGTGTTTAGACATATGCAGAGATCTGAGACTTCTTGAAATTATATTTGAAGCTATTAAAAGTGTATTTATTTTTGGTATTATCAGAAAGCTTATCCCATAATTTTGGTCCAAAATAAAAAATGGAATGTCTTCTAGCATGGGATAGACAAACAGTAGTAGACGCGTAATTAGTAGAAGAGAACCTTGTGCCATAGTGATGACGTTCAGATGCCTTAATGCAAAGATTGGTGATGTGGGATGGTAAGGTAAAACAATCGTTCCATGGATACGTAGGAACACTGTGACTACTGCCGTTAGTTGGTAAAAATTTACCATTTTGAGATGGCCAATAATATACCTGTCAATTATTGCAAAACTATTTTATTTTATTATTTTTAATTAATATTATTAATAATCATTCGAGAAATGAGGCATGCAATTTCTTGAGAGAGAAGAAAACAGAAAAATAGGAGACATGGGTTAGAAACTCATCATTTGTTTTACGTCTGAGGTTAATGGTTTTTTAAAAAAGCTGAGTTCTGCACAACAGGGAGACCACCCACAGGCAGATTAAAACTGGTTTGATCTGTGTCAAATGTGTGAAAATTTATTAAGTAACTATATTGATGGCTACCTGCTGCGAACAGCTCCACCAAGAGATGGATACATGCACCTAATAAGATGATATTATTATTATTATTATTATTAAATATTTTCTTAATATTAAAAATGTATTAATTGATTGATTATAAAGTAATAATGATTATTATATTATTCAGCTCCTTTACCACCTGAAGATGTTGTTGTGACAAAGGGTATAGACAGCTTGACGTTTACTTGGGCAGCACCAAAGATTGGATTTTTCAGCAGCTTTGAAATTCAATATTTGTATTTTGTATCTATTTCTCGAAGCGAGATTTATCATTTAACGTTTAATGAAGATGTACAGACAGCAACAGTCAATGACCTTATACAAGGTGCAATATATTTCTGGTCTATTTATACTACATCTGGTTCATCTAATGAGTTTACAATCAGTAATGCTGTAACTGGCTCTCTTACTTTCGGTAAGTTACTCATAATATTTCAATAATAATAATAATAATATTTATTTGACATTTCACTTGTCAATCTTAAACTAATGAATGAAGAGGAAAGCAGCAACTTAAATCTAGACAAATATAAAAACTCAGCTAAAAGGAAAATACAATTTTGAGTTGGAAATTAATCATAATCACCCCCCCCCCCCTCCACCCCAAAACCACATAATTATATCTGTATTTGAATATCTGTAATCGGTTTATTTTTAAACTGAAGGTAAGTTTGGCTGTATTATACATGAGTTTACACAGACCAGTACGGTCACAAAGGAAGACCTTACACTGTTTGATAAATTCAGCAAGAAGGTGAAAAAAAGCAGATGCAGACATAAACTTTCTTAAAAGTATGTATATACATACATATATTTCCAATCTGCTGAGAGTACTGTTTTGATCTTGTTAGATCTCATCAGTGCAGCTCAGGATTTCAATAATGAAACACACTTGGGTCAGCCCTAAGTGACGTGGTACATCATACATATATATAGGTATACATATACACACACACACACACACACACACACACACACACACACAAAGCAGGGTGGATAGTCTATATTTCCATTGGCCAGTGTTGGTGCCAACAGAGGTGTGGGACGGGGGGTGTATTTTGGGCTTAATCAAGACAAATCAGTTTTTTGTTTTTTAGGTAACTTTCTTAGGGAGTTATTGGTTTTCTTATATAATTTACATCGTACTGATGATATTTATAAAGATTTTAGTATCATTGTATAAAGCAGGGTGGATGGCCTGTATTTTTATTGGTCGGTGCTTCAAGTTAGTGGAGCCAGCGGAGGTGCGGGTGTCTTTTGGGCTTGGGCGAGACAAACAAGTTTTTTTTTTGTGTCTCATTGCTGGACAGGATTACTTTATGATCTATCTATTTTGGCTAATGAAGGTTGTAGGGTCACTGCTGCATAAATTCATCTAAACGATATCTTTACATTTTATAATAAGATGAGCAGATTTTTATAGAAAGAATTTGAATCAAAGTAAACAATAAAATAACTTGTAAAAGCTTTCTGTAATGTAGGCCTGCTTACGTACATTACGTCATTCCTGTAAATAGTTACAGAAGTAACAGAAAAAGGATAGTGTTTTTTTTTTTTATTTAATTTTTTTTTTCTTTTGAGGTGAGTTGTTGCTTTAAACCTTGTCAATGTTGTAGAATTTTTTCTTATGATCAAAAGTCACTTTACTTCCTAAACCATATAATGTTTAGAGCACCTTGTGTGTATGCTGGTCTCGTTTTGGGATTGCCACGTTGTACAATGAATCCAACTCCACTCTCTGTGAGCGCTAGACGATTCGACGCCGTTAGCTGATTGTCGGTTGTAGTCTGAATGGATCATCTTTAAAAACGATCCTTGTACGCACGTCGTGGTTCCGCATTCTCCATAAAATTACATCAACCAACTACCATCAGGCACTGTGAGTGCCCGGTTTAAGTTTGCTATTGGCAATTCTTGGCCCATGTTGGGACTTACATAATTAATAAAAGAAAGTATTAGTTTTTCGATGAATATGAAGTCAATTAATTTAAATATGTACAATAGTTTTTTTATCTTTAATTTTTTCCAAACAGATGTTGCTCCAGCAGCAGGTGACATCATTATTAAGTCAGTCACAGAGACAGTGATAGAAGTGGCATTCCAGCCATCTGCAAGTGTCAGCGTTACTGGATATGAGTTGTCTATAATGGCAGAGGACAGTACCACTAGCAGCAAAAAGACATTTACACCTGAAGAAAACAAATACTACGTGTTCTTAGGGCTCTCCCCAGGCACTGAATACACGATCTCTCTAAGGATTTTAGGAACCGGCGAACCTAATAAATCTGCTGTAGTCACAACAAGTAAGTACAAGCCCAAATAAAAAAGAAAAAATTAAAAATTTAATTCAAATAAAAATTTGAAGTAAAAATGTGTTTTTTATATTTGTGGCAAAGAGGCAAACCAGTCACTCCTGACAAATCATTTTTCAGAGGTAGTGGCCAAAACATGTTGGAATGTCAACATTTTTTAATTCTATTTTATTTCGCTAAACTAAACTTTATATATCTATACATCATGCTATCTGTTTTCCCAATTTTCAGTGTTAAAACAACATTTTTAAAAACGTCTGAAATAGTAAACTTTAAAAGCTCATTTTTCAAATTCTTTTATCATTTTATAACTTTCATTTTACTGGGCAAACCCTGTATTAATAACTAAAAAAATTTATTTTCACAAGGAGTGACTGGTTTACCTAGATTTGCTACATTTGTTACCGTTTTGAATTTCCTTATTGAGTGATAGCATCTCAAGAAGTCGAAGAGAATGATTAGCCACTGCTAGCAGCAGCATAATTATCTAAATTGAAGCATTTACGTATTGTGTTGTCAACAATAAATAAGCTTTGATTCCTTGATTCTCAATGGCGCTTTTTTTATTTGACAAATGGGCAATGTGTAATTGTACTCTACAGTACTTTCTATTTCGAGACAGCATCAGTGTTTTCACAGAGTACTGTAGTGGCGGGGTGGGATTAGTCCAAGGTGAAAACTACCAGAGCCCATGATGCCACTCTCATTATTTTAGTAATGTTTTACTCTAAATGTCATCTAAAGAGTATTTGTGAATAATTACCTGGATAAACCAACTAAATACCATTGTTCCTTTAAAAACACCTCTACAACAAATATACAGCAGTCCGATTGTCCCAGCACCTGAATCTGCCCATGCCCAAAGCTTGTTCTCATTTTTCTTTCATTGGTCAACAAGCGTTGACCACATCTACAGTGCATGTTGATATTATTATTATTTATTTTCTCAATTGGCCCTATATAATTTCTGTGTAAAGCACACACAGTAAGGGCAGTGTGCAATATGCACTATATAAATATAACATTATTATTATTACCTTGGATTATTGCATTTCATAGCGAAGATTTCCAAAATTTTTAAGATATTCATCACTTCTGATTTGTGTAATATACTATATATGTTCTTTTTTTATCCACAGAACCGCCCGCTCCACAGTTTGTACAGACAACAAATTCAAATTTTAAAAGTCTAGTTGTCTCATGGACTGCTCCTTTAGACACCACCAACCTAGACTATTACAGCGTCTCTTACAGACCAAATCTAGGTATTCCAAGATCTCCCATTCGTATTGACGTATCTGGAAATCGTGTCCGGAGAAATGCTGATGATACTGTAACATTACAGATTGATGATCTTCCAGAAAATACTGTTTTTGACATTATTGTTTCTAGTGTCGCAGGAAATTCCGCTCAAGACATCTCAATCACAGGTGTTACAGGTAATCCATTTCATTGGCAAGATGTTATATTGAATTTGCTTTTGTTCACTTTATATAATGCTTTGTACCCAGAACAGTCCTGCAAATACCAAAAAAACCCCCTGCAAATACCAAAAAAACCCCTCACCTAGGCTAATCTGTCAATTTTCTTGCGTAGGCCTAGGGTATCAAATTTATGTCATTTAAGTAACTATCATCCTTTTCTCGTTTCCTCGTTTGAAAATTTATTCTAAAATCCTCTATTTTATTAGTATTTTCATCATCAAAAACAATGGGAATATTTTCCTGTTGGATGTAATTTGAATGGCAGCCATTGTTTAGACTTGAAAACGCAAAAAAAAAAAAATGGTAGATTTCTCATTACATTTCAAAATAATTTTTGCTTGTTTTTCACCGATATTCAGCAATGACCTATTGACCTGATCCCGAAATATCATATTGACCTGAAACAAGACAAAATAATAGTATATTACTGTATAAACTAAGGAGTCTTCAGTACTGTGGTATAATTAAAGTGGATCTGACTAAAATTTATGAAGCTAAAAATGTTTTTGATAGACTTTCATACATTTTATACTTTTAAATTTGTAATAAGAAAAACAATTTCAATGATTTTGGAATGATTTTCAATCAACGAAATACAACATACTGTAAATCGAAAGATTAAATAACTTGTAACAACAAATAATGGTTGTTACAATAGAATAAAATTATTTTGTGATATTATATTATATGCAATTGATTTTTTGTTTCCTTTTCAAGATTATTTGGATCCCGGTGAAATTTATATAACCAACGTGACTTATAAATCCTTTGAAGTATTTTATGGCGAAACTACCGACCCATCGTTTGTTGAATACACTTTCAATATTATGGGCGGTAACCAAATGTTGATGTTAACACGCAGTGCTTTTGATGTTCGCTCCTTCTTGGTAGAGAACCTGGAATATAGCACTCTTTACTGTGTTGAGTTAGATGATGGAGTCAACCCTCCAACCAAAAAGAACGTTACTACAGGTAATACATGGAGATGCTTCGGTGTCAATTATTTATACTATTAGAGACCAATCATATAAAGAATTAAGTTATCTGCTGTAGTTTTATTTGGTGTATACACCCATGGATAACCCACGAAAGTCTGAAGAAGACTTATTTGCAGTGGGGTTCTTCTGGTGGTATTACTGTAACTTCAGCCCTCCATCAGAAACACCAGGAGTAATGGGAATTGAGCCGGGGACTTAGATATCTTACAGTTCAGTGCACACCCAGTGTCTGTAAGCTGACTGAGCTAAGCTGCTGTCTTCCAATTTAGTGCTATTATTATTAGATACAAAGTTTGCCTAATGTTCAGGTTTTAATCTTTGCTTATACAGTGAACAATATAAGTATTATTAATATTGTTGTAGTTGTTATAAATCAATCCTGACTCCGTCATTTACATTTCCATGTAATTAATTCCTCTAAAAATTGCCGTCAGCCAGTCCGCAGCTTCAGTCGGTTTTTTCACAGGAAATAACAGCTCTTTCGGCTGCTGTTTTCTATCTATAGTGTCCTCAGAACTTGACTATAGTTGATTACTAGCATAATTTTTAACACATTAAGTATTATCCATAGCACCTCCAATTGAAAAAAAAGATAAGGTACATTTACAATTAAAGAAAATACAATTTATGACACTATATCTACTACAAAATTTGAATAAGATAGGAAAACAAAAACAGTTACATTTTTAAATAATGTCAATTGATGGTGTATATGCCAAAAATTGTGTATAAAATAGTATTTCAAGTCTTTTGCTGGTGCTAACAGTACTTAAACCTAATTAAGTGTCTTAAAAAAGAGATATGAAAAAGATTTCAGTTAAATACTTTTGATCATCATTCAATTATTGAATTTTAGTTCACTACAATAATGCAATTTTTAGTATAAACATATAATCGTTTACATTGGCAGAGATATATTTTGTTGGCGAAGTCAACGTAACATTTGTTGATGAGGAAACCATAGAGTTCATCTGGGATGATCCTACGCTCCCAAACTTTTTTGTAAGTTTTACGATCGAGCCAAACGAAGGTACTGCAACCATTGATGAAACAAGCAATTCTGGCAGCGTATCCGGATTAACGCCTGGAAAATTATATTCTCTCTCGATATTCAACAATACGGAAACTGAAAGAAGGTGGTCAGTCGTTGACGTCAGAACTTGTAAGTCTTAAGTCTTATATTCATATAATATTACACAGTGCTGTAATATTAATATAGCAATAATGTTGGTCTTTGTAGGAGTGTACTGTATATTCTCGCATATAAGACAAGGCTTAAAATTGAAAATGACGATTGAAAAATAAGGGTTGTCTTATACGTGCAACATACACAGTTTTGGTTTTTAAAATCATGTTTGTGCATCCGTAACATTCAAATTTACTACTGAGACGAAGTTAGCAACTGTTAGTATGTCACCATGTACATTTGACGAGCTGTAAATGAATGCCCTACATGACGTTAGTTGTTGAATTTGTCAGATAAGTTTTAATTTTTCTAATCTCTTCTGGGTCATCTGTACTTAAAATTAAAACCTGACAAGTATTTTTTATGATTTTTATTTCTTTTTTAAGTTTCTGAGTTCTAATATTAATTATAAATATAAAGCATATACCTATATATTAGGCATATTATATATAGTGTTGTAAAGTATGTGGTTAATTGTTAGAGAAGACCCAACTGGTAAAACATTAATGCTTTGATTTTAAAATTTGAAAGTCAACAAATTAAAAAATGACATTTCATGTTGTCTGGGAAAATCCATTTATGGCAAAATTTGTGTACAGTTTTACATGAAATCGTGTATCATATTTCTGGTTGGGTTGAACGGCTGGCCGAGAGGTGTTGTTCCTGCATCTTGCGCTGAAGACCAAGGTTAAAACTCAGCCAGCATTGAGGTTTAATTTGGAGTCTAATGCTTGACTACCTCTTACATGTATTGTTATTAGTACTGTCACTGCCCTGTGTTTTTCATGTGTACCCTAGGTCCAGCCAATATAAATGCACATGTGCATCCTCATGGGTATATTATGGTTACACCTGGACTAGAGAAAATTTAAAAATGTGCTTATTTACGGTGCTAGAGGCATATATGCTTAGGGTTATTTAAGGGTGCTGATCTCAAATCTGTTACTGTACTGCATATTCTCGCTTATAAGATGAAACAGGGTCGTCTTTTATGTGCAGCACTTACAATTTTTAAAGTCATGTTCATCTTATGTGTGGATTGTCCGTAACACGCAAATTTACAACTGAAGTGAAGGTACTGCACTAAATTTTAGAATGAATGAATGGAATTCTAAATGTGGGGAAGATTTTGTGGAACATTTAAATGCCCATAATATGGTATTATTTGGAAGATTAGCCCTACATTTGGCTGTGTTTTAGCCACCTAGATGCGGTATCAAGACCATAAAAAAGCAGCAAAAAGTAGGAATTCCGACGGTGAAACAGTCTTGTACACGCGACATACAAAAATCTTCCATAATTCTTTTCAAACTTGCGGATCATTTTATACACTGATTGCCTTACATGCAAGAATATATATTTACATGCCAAACTCAAAAATGACTCAAAGATGACAAGCAGAAATGTATTTATGTACATATCTTTTTGTTTATCAATGTACAAACTTGAATAATGTGCTTTTGAAGGTTTACTTAGATGGAGAATCAAATCCTGTATTCAGTAATAAGATTAGATTTTGAGACTCTATTTAAAATTAATTTTTATTGCAGAAATTGTCTTTTATTTTCAGAAAATGGCTGTTATTTTGTTTTTTAAAAAAAAAGCTAATTAAATACCAAAATTCGAGTTAATTACTCTTTAGTTTCAGATTACTAATGGAAAATTTAAAAAAAAATGTGCCTGTGAAGTTGGTTCCTGTTCCTAAATATTCAAACTACATTGACGAGACAGTTGCAAAATGTTTTTAGATGTATTTACTTTATTTTATAATTTTATAGTGTTATTTGGTATTTTTGGTATTGATAGGTGACTGTTGAACTCCATATGTGTGACCTAATTTTCCTAATGCATGCATTTAAATGTAAGAGATGCTGTGATTTTAAAAGTTGTTAGAGGCATAACATGATAGAAACACTTGAGATTTGCCATGTCAAAACCAACATCAGTGATGATAACAAGAAAGTTGACTTTTTAATATATTCATATTTTCCACATTATAAGCATTATTTAAAAATAATTAGTCAATTACTAGAATCGGTTATAGCCCAGTTTCCTTAAAATCGCTACACTGTTGCTAGAGCATTTTCAGTGCAATATTTGTAGTCCATAGGAGTCCCTGACACAATCGGGAAGGCTCTCCAATTCGACCTAATGATCAGCGTCACCGAAATCTGCCTGCAATACCTTGTAACGATTTAAGGAAACCAAGCTTTACTACTGCCAAATTTATGTGTAGAAGTATCACTGCTTCTCTGTAGTAAAGTATACAATACAGCTGTCACATTATGCTAATCATGCAGTTTAACATTTAGCAACTGTATGCTGGTTTTGGGATGGCGAGCCTCATTTATCAGATGTTTTGATTTTTTTAAAATAAATTTATCTTTTACAGACCCAGTGAAACCTAGAGGATTTGATGGCATTACACCATTATACACAAGTATTTCTTTATCTTGGTATTTTCAAACGGATGTAGTGTATGACTCCTTTAGAGTAATTTATGAACCAGCCAATGGGATAGACCCAGTACCTATAGATGTAACAGATACTCAGATTACATTAGAGGGACTTGCACCAAACACAGAGTACAAAATTGAAGTCAGAACGGTTTCAGGAGATGGGGATAATGAAAGAATAAGCCAAAGAAGTTCTATTGCATATGTTTCAACAGGTATTGCTAGACTTTATTGTCTTAAAACTGAATAATGTCAGTAACTTATTGTTATTTTATTTAATTTTCATTTTGTATTCTATGGACTTTTATTATTTTATTACAGTTCCAGTTGCAATGGGTGTAGTCCTGGTACGTTCTTATTCAAATGATAGCATCTTGATAACATGGGGTGAGATCAGTGGTGAGAACAGCTACATCTTAGAGATATCCCCAGTCTCAAGTAATGATAGTAAAAGTATTGAACATACCGGAGACCGACAATTTGAATTTACTGGATTGACACCAGGTCAGTTGTATAACATAACTGTACGAGGTAACAACAGCTTTGAAGAAGGATTTGTGTTGCAAAGAACAAGTGAGTGAAATTTACTTTTTTTCACAGTCAGTTGAGTTTTTATATATTTTCTTTTTTTTAAAGTATTTTATGAACATTTTTATTTCTGTGTTTATAAATAATTGTAAATATTAATTATGCATTCCTTATGTCTTCTTTACTATACATTGTAGATCCAAACCCAGTTGCATCTCTTGAAATTACCAACACATCTCTTACTACACTGACACTCATTTGGAGTGAGCCTGAAGTGGAAGGAGGTCTTGAAGTTATATTTGGCGGCTATGTTTTAACTTACAAAGAGAATGGTGGCTTAGAAGTTAACCTTGGTTTCCTGGAAAGAGGAACCATCTTTTACACAATTACAAACTTGGATCCAGCAACTACTTACACAGTTTGTATTAGGACAAGAATGGGAAGTGGAGACACGCAAGTGCATAGCTCAGTTGTAACAGATACAGAAATTACAGGTAGCATATTAAACAGACACCTTTGGTACCAAAAACATGTCCCCTTAATTATAGGGAAGATTCCCTTACTTGGGAGAAAATGAAAGCCTTGTTTCTATGCAATTACTACACTATATAGCTGTCCCTGATGGAATCAGGAAGACTCCCTGTTTCGTCAGCAATGAATCGGCAGAGTTGAAACAGGTTAATTCTCCTGATTGATGTAACTATTGACCGAATTCAGTAACGACCAACAGCTTCTCCTTGAGCCAATCTTTACACTTGAATTTCCTATGTGGTGGTGCCAAAATTTGACAAAATGCTAATGAATATCAATGAGATAATTTTGGTGTTTGGTACATACGTCACTCAGGAAGTGTCCATGTCCCTTTACTAGGAACATCCCCTTAAAACAGGTTTACTGTAGCGTTAATAGATAAGTTCCTCTCATTTCATGGAAAGTGTTCCCTTAACACTCTGACCGCCATGGGGCTTGAATAAATGGTATCAGACACCACCAAACTTTTTAGCAAATTTTAACACTTTGCCAAAGCTCGTTGAGAGTGCATATGTGATCAGACTGACATGTACTGAATACTACAAGAACTACAAAAATTTTAGCTTTACAATGGTACCAAACACTTTATTCTAATCACAATCTGTGACCCGTAACAGTAAAATGAATATGACTCACTTTTGGAGATTTACACAATTTCACACAAGGAAGCTGAGATAATTGCGATTTTGTGAAAGTAAATCAATACCGCTCTCAATAATGTAAACAAACAAATAGTGAAATACTTACGGTCCAGACTGCATATAGGGTTCAAATTGTTAGTACATGTCAGTAATTACCCAATCTATCGGATTCCAAAAAAAAAAAATCTGAAACACGGAGATCTCTGTGTTTGGCGGTTAAGCGTTGTGTTGCCAAACACAGAGATCTCTGTGTTTGGAGGGCAGAGTTTTAATAAGGCTCTACTGTATTGTTTTAGCACAGTTGGAATTAAGAAGAGTTGATGATTGAAATTGTAACTTGTGTTTTTGTAATTCTAGATGCTATTGCCAATGATGAAATCTTCGTAAGGAACTTCACTGAAAAAACCATTGAGATTCTTTGGGCTGAAAGTACACAATTGAAGTCAGAACAGTTTCAGGAGATGGGGATAATGAAAGAATAAGCCAGACAAGTTCTAAAACATATGTTTCAACAGGTATTGCTAGACTTTACTGTCTTAAAACTGAATAATATCAATAACTTATTGTTATTTTATTTAATTTTAATTTTGTATTGTATGAATTTTTATTATTTTATTACAGTTCCAGTTGGAATGGGAGTAGTCTTGGTACATTCTTATTCAAATGATAGCATCTCTATAACATGGGGAGAGATCAGTGGTGAGAACAGCTACATCTTAGAGATAACCCCAGTCTCTAGTAATGATAGTAAAAGTATTGAACATACCGGAGACCGGCAATTTGAATTTACTGGATTGACACCAGGTCAGTTGTTTAATATAACTGTACGAGGTAACAACAGCTTTGAAGAAGGATTTGTGTTGCAAAGAACAAGTAAGTGAATATCCGTAGTTTCACTTCTAAGTTGTTTTTTGTGTTTTGGAATTCAGTGGAGTTCTTATATATTTTCTTGTTTTTTCCAGTTTAGTTTTAACATTTTTTTTGTAGGCTTTTATAAATAATTGTAAATATTGCATTCCTCATGTCTTCTTTACTTACTTTGTAGATCCAAACCCAGTTACATTTATTGAAATTACCAACACATCTCTTACTACACTGACACTCATTTGGAGTGAGCCTGAAGTGGAAGGAGGTCTTGAAGTTATATTTGGCGGCTATGTTTTAACTTACAAAGAGAATGGTGGCTCAGAGGTTAACCTTGGTTTCCTGGAAAGAGGAACCAACTTTTACACAATTACAAGCTTGTATCCTACAACTAATTACACAGTTTGTATTAGGACAAGAATGGGAAGTGGAGACACACAAGAGCATAGCTCAGTTGTAACACATACAGAAATTACAGGTAGCATATAAAACACTAATTAAATACAGTAGAATATCTATTTTGGGGACACATTTGAGACCAAAAAAGCTGTCCTCTTAGTAAGGGTGTCCCCTATTTAGGGGAAAATAAAGTCTGGTTTCCATAAGATTGCTACAACTTGTAGCTGTTCCCGTTGCAATCGGGAAAGATCTACAGTTTGTTGGCAATGAATCAGCTGAGTTGAGGTTCAGCTCACCTGATTTATAGACAACAAATCCTAAACATTGACCAATCATCAACCGAATTCACTGAAACAGCTTCAGATTGCATCAAGATGATCATCGCCCTTGATTTTCTCACGCAGTGATGCTGAATTTTAAATTAAAATTACTGAATATCAATCAGACATTTGCATTTGTATAAAAAGAGCATACTTAGGTATAAAGAGGTATTAGAAGAGCTGTTGGCCTTATCGGTAACAGCTATTTTTCTTTCATTTTAAGTGCAAAAGTGTCCCATTTATAGTTGGAATTAAAAAAAGAAAAAAGGAGTTGATGGTTTTTATTTGCAACTTGTGTTTTTGTAATTCTAGATGCGATTGCCAATGATACAATCTTTGTAAGGAACTTCACTGAAAGAAGCATTGAGATCCTTTGGCCTGAAAATCCATTTGCATTGAGATACACTGTTTATGTTTGGCCAACAAGCAGAAGCAGAGGGGAAGGCATGTCTCAAGACACTGGCAATACAACATCAGCTTTGACAGGTCTTGTTCCAGGAGAACTGTATACAATTCAGGTAGAGATTGATCTTGGAAATGGAAATGATAGTGTGTTGCAAACTCAGTGGAGAACATGTAAGTTTGACAAAATGTCTTTAAGAATAAAGATTGTTACAAATTTAAGAATGTTTTAAAGAGTACACAAAAAGCTATGAGTAGAAATTTATGAATTTGAAATTCTGTGATTTTAAATGTTTTTAGAGGTAGAATTTGTTGGAAAAATTCTTAAAATATTTGAATTTTTTTAATTAATTTATATTTATGCTGGTTTTGGGATGGCGAGCCTCATTTATCAGATGTTTTGATTTTTTTTTATAAATTTATCTTTTACAGACCCAGTGAAACCTATAGGATTTGATGGCATTACACCATTATACACAAATATTACTTTATCTTGGTATCTTCAAGCGGATGTAGTGTATGACTCCTTTAGAGTAACTTATGAACCAGCCAATGGGATAGACCCAGTACCTATAGATGTAACAGATACTCAGATTACATTAGAGGGACTTATACCGGGCACCGAGTACACAATTGAAGTCAGAACAGTTTCAGGAGATGGGGATAATGAAAGGATAAGCCAGACAAGTTCTAAAACATATGTTTCAACAGGTATTGCTAGACTTTACTGTCTTAAAACTGAATAATATCAATAACTTATTGTTATTTTATTTAATTTTAATTTTGTATTGTATGGATTTTTATTATTTTATTACAGTTCCAGTTGGAATGGGAGTAATCTTAGTACATTCTTATTCAAATGATAGCATCTCTATAACATGGGGAGAGATCAGTGGTGAGAACAGCTACATCTTAGAGATAACCCCAGTCCCTAGTAATGATAGTAAAAGTATTGAACATACCGGAGACCGACAATTTGAATTTACTGGATTGACACCAGGTCAGTTGCTTAATATAACTGTACGAGGTAACAACAGCTTTGAAGAAGGATTTGTGTTGCAAAGAACAAGTAAGTGAATATCCATAGTTTCACTTCTAAGTTGTTTTTTGGCATTCAGTTGAGTTCTTATATATTTTCTTGTTTTTTTCTTGTTTTTTCCAGTTTAGTTTTAACATTTTTTTTGTAGGCTTTTATAAATAATTGTAAATATTGCATTCCTCATGTCTTCTTTACTTACTTTGTAGATCCAAACCCAGTTACATTTATTGAAATTACCAACACATCTCTTACTACACTGACACTCATTTGGAGTGAGCCTGAAGTGGAAGGAGGTCTTGAAGTTATATTTGGCGGCTATGTTTTAACTTACAAAGAGAATGGTGGCTCAGAAGTTAACCTTGGTTTCCTGGAAAGAGGAACCAACTTTTACACAATTACAAACTTGTATCCAACAACTACTTACACAGTTTGTATTAGGACAAGAATGGGAAGTGGAGATACACAAGAGCATAGCTCAGTTGTAACAGATACAGAAATTACAGGTAGCATATAAAACACTAATTAAATACAGTAGAATATCTATTTTGGGGACACATTTGAGACCAAAAAAGCTGTCCTCTTAGTAAGGGTGTCCCCTATTTAAGGGAAAATAAAGTCTGGTTTCCATAAGATTGCTACACCTTGTAGCTGTTCCCATTGCAATTGGTAAAGATCTACGGTTTGCTGGCAATGAATCAGCTGAGTTGAGGTTCAACTCACCTGATTTGTAGACAACAAATCCTAACCATTGACCAATCATCAACCGAATTCACTGAAACAGCTTCAGCTTGCATCAAGATGATCATCGCCCTTGATTTTCTCACGCAGTGATGCTGAATTTTAAATTAAAATTACTGAATATCAATCAGACATTTGCATTTGTATAAAAAGAGCATACTTAGGTATAAAGAGGTATTAGAAGAGCTGTTGGCCTTATTGGTAACAGCTATTTTTCTTTCATTTTAAGTGCAAAATGTCCCATTTATAGTATTATAGGAATTAAAAAAAGGAGTTGATGGTTTAATTTGCAACTTGCGTTTTCGTAATTCTAGATGCGATTGCCAATAATACAATCTTTGTAAGGAACTTCACTGAAAGAACCATTGAGATTCTTTGGCCTGAAAATCCATTTGCATTGAGATACACTGTTTATGTTTGGCCAACAAGCAGAAGCAGAGGGGAAGGCATGTCTCAAGACACTGGCAATACAACATCAGCTTTGAGAGAGTTGACATATCTTGTTCCAGGAGAACTGTATACAATTCAGGTAGAGATTGATCTTGGAAATGGAAATGATAGTGTGTTGCAAACACAGTGGAGAACATGTAAGTTTGACAAAATGTCTTTAAGAATAAAGATTGTTACAATTTAAGAATGTTTTAAAGAGTACACAAAAAACTATGAGTAGAAATTTATGAATTTGAAATGCTGTGATTTTAAATGTTTTTAGAGGTAGAATTTGTTGGAAAAATTCTTAAAATATATGAATTTTTTTTATTAATTTATATTTTACAGACCCAGTGAAACCTGATGGATTTGATGGCATTACACCATTATACACAAATATTACTTTATCTTGGTATTTTCAAGCGGATGTAGTGTATGACTCCTTTAGAGTAACTTATGAACCAGCCAGTGGGATAGACCCAGTACCTATAGATGTAACAGATACTCAGATTACATTAGAGGGACTTATACCGGGCACTGAGTACACAATTGAAGTCAGAACAGTTTCAGGAGATGGGGATAATGAAAGAATAAGCCAGACAAGTTCTAAAACATATGTTTCAACAGGTATTGCTAGACTTTACTGTCTTAAAACTGAATAATATCAATAACTTATTGTTATTTTATTTAATTTAAATTTTGTATTGTATGAATTTTTATTATTTTATTACAGTTCCAGTTGGAATGGGAGTAGTCTTAGTACATTTTTATTCAAATGATAGCATCTCTATCACATGGGGAGAGATCAGTGGTGAGAACAGCTACATCTTAGAGATAACCCCAGTTTCTAGTAATGATAGTAAAAGTATTGAACATACTGGAGACCGACAATTTGAATTTACTGGATTGACACCAGGTCAGTTGTTTAATATAACTGTACGAGGTAACAACAGCTTTGAAGAAGGAATTGTTTTGCAAAGAACAAGTAAGTGAATATCCGTAGTTTCACTTCTAAGTTGTTTTTTGTTTTTGGCATTCAGTGGAGTTCTTATATATTTTCTTGTTTTTTCCAGTTTAGTTTTAACATTTTTTTTGTAGGCTTTTATAAATAATTGTAAATATTGCATTCCTCATGTCTTCTTTACTTACTTTGTAGATCCAAACCCAGTTGCATTTATTGAAATTACCAACACATCTCTTACTACACTGACACTCATTTGGAGTGAGCCTGAAGTGGAAGGAGGTCTTGAAGTTATATTTGGCGGCTATGTTTTAACTTACAAAGAGAATGGTGGCTCAGAGGTTAACCTTGGCTTCCTGGAAAGAGGAACCAACTTTTACACAATTACAAACTTGTATCCAACAACTACTTACACAGTTTGTATTAGGACAAGAATGGGAAGTGGAGACACACAAGAGCATAGCTCAGTTGTAACACATACAGAAATTACAGGTAACATATAAAACACTAATTAAATACAGTGGAACATCTATTTTGTGGACACATTTGAGACCAAAAGAGTGTCCTCGTAGTAAGGGTGTCCACTATTTAGGGGAAACTAAAGTCTGTTTTCCATAAGATTTCTACACTTTTGCTACACTTTGTAGCTGTTCCCAATGCAATCGGAAAAGATCTACGGTTTGTTGGCAATGAATCAGCTGAGTTAAATACGGTTTAACTCACCTAATTTGTAGACAACAAATGCTCACCATTGACCAATCATCAATTGAATTCACTGAAACACCATCAGATTGCATCAAAATGATCATCACACTTAATTTTCTCAAGCGGTGATGCCAAATTTTGACATAAAATTACTGAATATAAATCAGACATCTATGTTTGTATGAAAAGAGCATACTAGGTATATAAGAGGTAGTAGAAGAGTTCAAATATTAGGTGTTGGCCTTATTGGTAACAGCTATTTTTCTTTCATTTTAAGTGTAAAAGTGTCCCATTTATAGTTGGAATTAAGAGAGGTTGATGATTTAATTTGTAACCTGTGTTTTTGTAAATCTAGATGCTATTGCCAATGGTACAATCTTTGTAAGGAGCTTCACTGAAAGAAGCATTGAGATCCTTTGGCCTGAAAATCCATTTGCATTGAAATACACTGTTTATGTTTGGCCAACAAGCGGAAGCAGAGGGGAAGGCATGTCTCAAGACACTGGCAATACAACATCAGCTTTGAGAGAATTGACAGATCTTGTTCCAGGAGAACTGTATACAATTCAGGTAGAGATTGATCTTGGAAATGGAAATGATAGTGTGTTGCAAACTCAGTGGAGAACATGTAAGTTTGACAAAATGTCTTTAAGAATTAAAATTGTTACAAATTTAAGAATGTTTGAAAGAGTAGAAAACCAACTATGAATAGAAATTTATGCATTTTAAATGCTGTGATTTTAAAGGTTTTTAGAGGTAGAATGTTTTGGAAACATTTTTAAAAATATTTGATTTAAAAAAAATTAATATTTACAGACCCAGAGAAACCTAGACGATTTGATGGCCTTTCACCATCCTACACAAGTATTGCTTTATCTTGGAATCTTGAAACAGATGTAGTGTATGACTTCTTTAGAGTAACTTATGAGCCAGACAACGGATTATACCCAGTACCTATAGATGTAACAGACACTCAGATTACATTAGAGGGACTTACACCAGACACAGATTACAAAATTGAAGTCAGAACTGTTTCAGGAGATGGGGATAATGAAAGGATAAGCCAGGGAAGTTCTAATTTATATGCGAGAACAGGTAATTCTAGATATTTGTATATCTAATCTCTTATAATTCTAGATATTTTTTATTGTTTCATGTTCTTGCATGCATTGTGTCAAAACTTTACCAAGTTTACATCCATTATATATCCTGCGGGTTCGGCTCTTGAGGAGAGGTACTATTATCATGCCACGCCATTTTCTAGATAGCTCGACTCACAAGACTGCAGAATGTTGATGCTCTGGTGCTTATGTCCAGTCCAATCAAAGTCTCATTTTCATCTCATCTGTCGCCCTTCATGGCATAGTAGCCCCCGTGTGGCATGTGAATTATTTCAAATGCTGCCCTCTGCCAATGTGCACAAAGTTGTTGCACTGCTGCATCCTGAGCTTTGTTTGGAAGTGTTCCCCAAGCACCATGGTTGTTTTCTGAAACAATGTTTTTTTCATACTTGAAAAACTTTCTGGACTCGAGGCCTCAGTTTCTAAGTTCTCTGCCTATCTATTTACCTTTTCTTCAGTTGTTGATCTCGCCCTCCGTGGCTTATTTGCTGGTGCTAATCCGGTATTTATCAGTTTATCCATGTACTGTAGCGTGACAATGGAGCTTGGGGCCCTGTGGCTTTCTGAGAGCTGGGGGCCTTTTATAGTAGGTCTCGGTCACCAATTCATTGTGGGATTTTAGATGTTCTCATTTTTTAATTATGTTTGTCATTGCAATCTTGATATGGTATGAGTGGTGAATCCAGGAATGCTTAATAGGACCCATGGAAAGACTTCCACTGATAAATGGTCAATACCAACTCTGAAGTAAAAATATTTACGATTACGGCACCTCTAAATGGCCGGAAATGTCACTTACAGACTTAAACTTTAGGGCCTCTCCCCTTTAATTCACCACTGGATATATTAATATGATCATATACAGTTTATGACAAAGACACATTATGCTATTATGTATCAACAAACAAGGTCAGGATGCTAGATCTAGGACCATGTGGTTAGGGCCCCTAGGGGTCAAGGCCCTGTGGACCACCGCACAAGAGCGCATAGGCGTTTCACCTCTGTCCATGTAAATATTCACAAAGTAGACAATAAAAATCAGGAGTGATTTTGCTAGTCTATGAGTGAATGCTTATCTGGATTAAAATGCCCTCACCTTTCTCACCGAGATATGTTACAGACTTGAAGGAAACAAGGAAGTTGTTCAAAAGTTTCCAAGGAAGCTTTGGCATTAGTTGGTTTCTCCAGGTATCTCACTTAGCAAAATTTCTGCTGATTTGTGAATACATTTTTAAAAACTTTTTTCTATTATTATTTATTTTTGTATTCTATAAATTGTATTATTTTGTTTACAGTTCCAGTTGGAATGGGTGTAGTCTTCTTAACCTCGTATTCAAATGTTAGCATCTCGATAACATGGGATGAGATCAATGGTGAGAACAGCTACATCCTACAGATTACACCAGAGTATGGTAGTGGTGGTGAAACTATTGAATATTCGGGGGACCGACAATTTGAATTTACTGAATTGATTCCTGGTCAGTTGTATAACATAACTTTACGAGGTAACAACAGCTTCGAAGAAGGATATCTACTGCAAAGAACAAGTAAGGAAAATCAAAAGGATTATACTTTTATGTTAATTTAACATATATATCTGAAAATGTTTATGAAAGAGTAGCACACATATATAACATCATTGTAAATCCGTGTGTGTTTTTAAAATTATATATCAATCGTCGAAACAAACAATTAAGGCAAGTCCAGTAGACTATAGAACACTGTATTTATTTTCGAAAGAAGTTTTCGGCCAGTCCTCTGGCCTTTATCCAGTAAAGCTGATGATGAAGACAGTACTGTTTCGATCTTGTTAGATCTTGTCATTGCAGCCCAGGATTTCAGGAATGAAACACACGACTCAAACATGGTTTGGGTCAGCCCTATGTGACGTACACTGATTTGAATAAAAAAGTGCACAAACCCAAAATGAGTATGACTGTGCAAAATGCTAATAGTATCACATAAATAATGCACCATCTTTACAAAACAATGTATTACCTTATATAATAGTACAATGTAGAGCACTGTGAATATTTCCAATCTGCAGACAGCACTGTTTAAATCTTGTTAGATCTTTGTCTATACATATATAGGCTCAATACAAAAGAGTGCTTTCAGATGATGAGTTTTTTCAAAGTAACTTATTTGTTATATTAATTAATTTACATCATCTTATAATTATTTACTTTGTTTTGTTACAGAACCAAACAGTCCAGCTTACATAGAGTTTGATGACTCTCTAGATTCATATACATCACTATTTGTTGAATGGGATAGTCCAGTACCAGTCAATGATATCATGACCATATTCAGTGGATATATTGTACGTTATCGAGCAGATTCAGGAACTGTTGTTGATGTGAGGTTAAATAGTACAGAGACCAATTACACCATTATGGGACTTTCACATAGCAGAGAATATGAGGTGTTGTTGCTAACCGAAAGCGAAGATGTGTTGAGTGACGAAATATCTGCAGTAGGCGACACAGGTATCATGCGTTATATATTTTATTCCACTAATTTCTTTTATGCTCGCCATAAATATCATCAAACTCTATTTGCTGCCAAATCTGTACTAAGTTAATTAGAAAGCTTCAGGTTAAACTCAACTCTGCTGCTCGCCTTGTAACATTTCCATCTCGATTAACCACATTTCACCCTACTTGAGCAACTTTACTGGTTGCCAGTCACGCGAGGATTGTTTTTAAAATTCTCACACTCACAAAGCATTACAGGATCAGACTCCATCATACATTTCAGACCTCATCAACAAGCGTTCGAGTAAATGTAGTTGGGTCCTTAGATGACTGACTCGTCCTTTTCTTCATGTTGCAACTTGCTGTTTTAAATCATATTGTGAAAGATCCTTCAATGTTGTAGCACCTAAACTCTTGAATGCTTGCCTCTGAATATTCGTGAAGGACCATCACTTACCTTATTCAAGCAAAGATTAAAAACACAATTATTGCATTGCATTTTAGTGTCTTGGTTCTCCTTTTCTTTCCCATTATAGTGTTTTTTTTTGTTTGTTTTTTTGTGTGTGTGTGTGTGTGTGTTATTCAAGTCAGATGCCAGTTTTATTTGTGCACCTGTGAATTATGAGCCTGCCAACTCCAACTACTGCTTGCCAGCAGTATTTAAACTACAAGAGAATGATGCAGTGATTCTGGTTCCTCTGCATGTGTTGTGTCTTGGTTTTTTTGTTCCATGTTAGCTAGTTGGAAATGATCCTGGTTTAGTTTTTCCCTTTTTCTTTTCGTTTCTCTCAGTGCATAGAGATCTCGATATTATGCACTATATAAATCCTATTACATACATATATACATACATACATACATACATACATTTTGTGTTGAATAATTTGTGGACTGATCTATTTTATTCAAAGGGGTGTTTTTTGGGGAAAAAAGGCAGTCTATTTTGTGAATACTTACCTGGATAAACTGACTAATTGCCATTGTTCCTTTAAGAACACCCCTACGACAAAAACAAAGACAATTAGGTAGTTTATCCAGGTAGGAATCTGACTCAGACTACCAATATGAATGATTTGTGTAATCTTTGTTCATACTATTAAGCCTTATGTGACTAATACATGGGATTTTCCCATATTTGGTTGTAGTATGGCTTGATCATGCCATGTATTACTTTATAATATGTTACTTTAAATTACATCTTATTTCATTTTATTTCATATTATTTTATTTATAAAAGCTCACAGGCGATGCCAATAGCAAACCTAGTAACAGTCTTGCATAATACATGTCGTACTCTTTCACAATACGAATATAAACACATGGTGCTCTACATAAACTAAGTCTCATTAATAGAGGGATTTAGTGACGACTGTTTACAGGTGGTCACATGACCTAACTTGGGTATGCATGAACAACATTACAGTGCGATAGCATGGGAAAAGATAATGTTATGTTTGCGAAAAAAACCACCCACTGTTAACGTGAGAGGTAAATGGCTAGAAAAGGCAATTGTTTAAAATAGTGTTTATTTACTTATCCTAGCATTCTCCTTGGATTGTTTGTTTTGAAATTTAAGTGATCCTTCATAAACCTTAGCTGGCCCTAAAATTGCAGTGTAGTTTGCAGGTCGAAGCCCATGTATACCTAACCATGCTGTAGATGTGCATGGGCCTAGGCCTAACATTTTTTGAAAAATCTTAATGTTTGCAGCCAGTATCCTTTACAACATTAGCAAAATATTAAGGCAAAATTCTTAAGTTTAATTTTCAATCAATTTGGTGTAGTTTACTGGGAAAAATGATGATCTTTACAGCAATAAACATGGGATGGCCGTGACAGAAATCTCCATGTAAAACATCGCTGTGTCAGTGGATTGTTTATATCCAACACCCAAGTTAGGTCACGTGAGGCCCATCGCTAAATCCCTCTATTACGAGGCTTAAGCACACACTGCTCCAATGCAGCTGACACAAATAGCGAAGGTGAATTTGTCGGCCGACCCCTATACAACGCAGTGTGTCCACTGGCTTTAGTTGTGTTGATTTGGTCATGAGCAAAATCACAAGTTTGTCAGATTAAAAAATTTTGTGTACAGAACTTAGCATGTTGACTGGTGCCTGCTTGTATTCTCTACTGTAGTGTGATGCTATGCGTGCAACCAACAATTAGTCACATGGAAAAATATTCTGCTGCCACAACAATTTAAAACTGGACTCTGGTATAGGACAGCAAGAAATCACCAATTCACACCATTGAACTTTTACCTATTAATTTTTGTCAATTCTCCTTTTTGATTTATTATTTAGCGTATTTATCAGCTGATGAGATAGTCGTCTTGTGGTACAACACTAAAAACATCACTGCCATTTGGGGTGGTAACGCATCTCAAGACGGATTTGAAAACTACACAGTCTCTTTAGAACCAGCTGATGGTGGGCCTTACATAATCAATTCAGCTTTACAAATTGCGCATTTCTACAATTTGATTCCTGGTAGATTGTATACAATTAGAGTTGAAACCGTAGTCAATGGAACTGCCTTAACAACCACGAAGAACCAGAGAACAGGTATAGTCAAATATGAACGAAATGTATTTTCTTTTGTATAGATATGACATAATAAAGTTCATTCAAATATTGGAATGTACCAGTACCGTAAATGGTTGAATAAGCGCTGCGGAGCTTAATCGAGAGTATATAAACTGTGTATATAATGTGTAAAACTAAAATGAAACACTTAAAAAAAAAGGGTCTTAAATACAATGCATACAGTGTTAAAGTAATAAAAGACAAGCATTTCTTTATAAACAATTATTTACAATGACGTAGGAACTTTGATAGGCCTACTGAACTACGGGAATACATCAGATAGTAACATGGGAACGGGCATGTAAAGTGCCACGCCAATATTTTTTATAAGCGCCGCTCTGAAATACAGGCCGCACTGAAACCTCCGAAAATTTTATAAGTGCCACGGTGCTTATTCGAGCATTTACAGTACTGTATTGTAAAAGTCATAGTAATTGCATAGCTCCTACAATAGCCTTGTTTGTAGGGGAAAATTTATTTTAAAAAATGGTTAAAAATTTTTTTTTCTTGGGTGGCGCTAGTGGCAGGCGAGAAAATATGGTCCGAAGAGGCGGAATGTGTGGTCAAGAGAAAAAGGTTTTTGGATGTTTCATTACCTATTATGGGGTCCATAATAGGCTATGCCCCCATTGGAAGCTTGGGATCTTTTATTTAAATAATTTTATACTTAGTGAGTGATAATTTTTGGCTGCTGCTGGGGGAGGGCCAGTGTTTGCTGCCCTCTGGATTTGCCACTGAAAAGAGAGTCCAATATATAAATTCAGGCTAAATGGGTGATTAACTATCAGTTAACTGTGTTATTCATTTCTAGTTCCTAGTATGGTGTCAGTTAATGCAAGCGTCGTCATGGTCGATTCAACATTAATCAATCTACAATGGACGCCTCCAGAAGGAGATTTTAGTGGCTTTGAGGTCACCCACTCTCCCGCAGATGGGCCAACTACTTCGATTATTCTTCTACCGGCCAATGAATTTTTTCACAACTTCATGTTTTTGCTACCAACAATAAACTACACATTTGAAATTGTCACCATATCTTCAGTACGTGGTTATGAGGAAAGAAGCCCACCTCTCCAAGTTACTTTTGTAACAGGTACTTAATTTATATCATATTGATTTTTTTTTTTAATCCTCATATTTCAAATTTATTGAAAGAATAATTTCCACATGTTCCAGTACAACAATATAAAATTATAGGAAATGGACTGACTTTGGAAACACCTTATTATATTGGAGAAAACCAATATTATATCCTTAGGCATACAGCTATATCCTAAGGTACAGAGACACTTTTACATGTTTGATCAGTGGCGGACTGTCAAGGCAAACAAGGTATGCAGTGCTGAAACAAATAAAAAAAAATTAGTAGTACAGTTTCTCCGTTTTCTTAGTCAGAATCTTCTATATGAACCTTAATTTTTCCAGTGGATTAGTACAGTTCATTGGAATAGCAAAGTTCTTTAATGTTTGGCCTACTTTGGTATCTAGGATAAGTCACAGTCGGGCCTATCACATCGTACTCTCTGCTGCTTATAATTTCCGCATAGCAGGTTTTCAATATCAGCCAATCACGTATTCAGTGAGTCAATTGGAATCGGAACATACCCTACAACGCTTAAATTTGCTATTATGACAACCGTGTGATGGTGTCAGAATAGCCAATTTAACACTGGAATGGGAGCGGTGCTTCAAAGTGTATGTGTGCATACTCTTCTTCTCACAAATCGGGACCTCCACTGCCGATCAGGTATAGGCCTAATCTCAATGACTAAATAAATTTGCATAGGCCTACATATGACCGGTATAGAAGAAACTTTGAATTATAATTATTTGAATTGAAATTTGTTAAAGTACAGGAATAGGAATTCTTTTAAAGAGAAGATACTGCAACCATGCAGTTATTCAAAATATCATACCGGTACATTTGTATATTGACTATAGAACGCAATCTGATTCTGTATTTACAAACTTTTCCTACAAGCAGGCCCTACCATCAGTGGCGTAGGGGTCTTGAAATTGAAGGGAGCTGATAAGGGTGGGAAGGTGTGGGATCGGTGATTAGATGAGAGGGGTAACTCGCTAAATAAGGTGATTTGCGATGAATTTTAACTACTTGAGCATGATTTGTGGGCGGGGCGCGACTGGGGATGGGCAAGTTTTTTTTCAGGAGGGGGGGGCATGCACGCCCCTTGCACATCCTGGATATGTCAATACTTAGCCTACCTTGCAACTTACCCTTCGGTCCGCCACTGTGTTTGATGTGTAATTTTATATGATAAATGAAAATGCAAATGCAGGCTTGCTTTCCATTTTTAATATCTTTCAACTGAGTTGCAATATATCAGTGACTGATGACTTACCAATTCTGACAGGCAACACTGGCAAAGTTGCTCTAAGGTAGCCTATATATTATGTTAGGTAGAACAGTATAGCCTGAAAATGATAAAGATGGTGTAAAAACATAAAATAGTTAAGCATTGATAAGAATGTTGAGGAGAAAAGAGTCGTAATTTCTTTAAGATTTAGAGAAAGAAACTTGGAACAAATTCACCAGGAACATGCTGGCATGTTAAGATGAAGGATAGGGTCTGCTCCTATTTTTGATTTCCTAGATTCGATCAAATTGATAATGTTGAGAATTTAAATTTGCACCTGTATTCAATAGTAAGTATTGATGAAGTACTTGGTTGAAGGTTCACATGGGGAGGAAAGAAGATTCTTTTAAATGTAAGGCTACAGTAAATTACTTGCGCATGGAGTCACACCAAAGATTGTGACAAGGCAATCATCCTATGATATTGTATTTAGACATGCAAAACAGAGTAAGGTACATTTTATTTAATGCCAATAAGGTAGAGCTCCTTCTTGTTTCTAACAATAGGGGTGAGTTATTTAATTAAATAAAAGCAATGTATTTATAATATTAGGTCCTCTCAAATATTTGGTATGTGTTACGAGATACATGTTTTTTTTTGGAGACCATTTGCTGGTTACTTTTTCTGTTCCTGATATTCAAGCTGGTTTTACACTGTATTTAGTTGCTGTAGTGTTATTAATATGGTAAGAGCATAATTGATGTGCACATCGCAGACTGTAAAATGCAGGGCATGATGTCTGTCTCTTGTTCTTGATGTTGACATGTAGGTTGAGATTGCTGTGTTAAATAAAGTTACTCTATTTAAAAATTGTAAAACCGAGTTATGCGCACTACAGTACATTGTCGTGTCAAAAGAAGAACTACAGGAAATGCTCATACTATACCAAACTCCAATACAGAATAATCATTCAAGGTGCATTAGACGATAACAAGAAGTTATTCTATAATGACACACCATCTACACACCAGAATCCAGCTTCTGAAGGCACCTTACTTATGGATGTCATAACCCACAATAGCTGGAATAATTAAATTAGAATCAAACAACTTCAACGAATGATTAGAAATGGTGTTGAAAGAGTGCATCCACCTACATGACCCAGAAATTAAAATGAGACAGATAGCGAATGTAGCAATAAAAGCCAACCAACAGAAAATGAAGTTGACAACAAACACCAAACCACTAAAGACCTTCTATCAAGACAATTTAAATGGACCAGTTATGTCATAAGAAGACCACATGATGATCTCTCAAAAATAGTCACATTTCACTGCTCAACAAGTAAAAACAAGAGGAATGACAAACCAAATCTGTTCGAGCAATGATTGAAAACAGTCAACTCAACAGAAGCAAATTTATTAAAGAAAGTTTAACCCATAATATTCAATTAAAAAATTGAGATGCCTGTAATTACCTGTACCTGTACTTGTTTTAACAACATTGGAGACGATATGTTGAACATCATGGGCCAAAGTTCCTGTAGGATAATAATGAAAGCAGTGTTGGGTTTGGCCTACAGGAACTCATACTTCCAGCGAGTTCTTTTATTCATAGAAGAAGCCATTTATCTCTCTTCCATAGTAGCCTAGCTCAAAACTCCGGCTATGTAAAATGATCAGAAGATTAAAAATTGTTAATACTAATAATGTAAAATTATGCCTATTATTTTATTTGGATGTGAAATTTGGGGTTTTCAAAACGTTAATATATTAGACACAATTCTCAATAAATTTTGTAGATATATGATGGGGGGTAGGGAAAAATGCCGTAACTGTCGCAGTACAAAGTGAACTTGGTAGATTTCCATTAAAAATTTTCGTTTTATTGAATATTATAAAATACTAGTTTAGACTATTACACCTAGACAGAGACAGAATTACATACCCATGCTATTTATTTCAATTAAGAAAGGTGGGAAGGGACGAAGAATGTTGGGCAATACATGTTAAAAATTTATTATTCTCAAGTGGTTTTGGTTATGTTTGGTTACTGCAAGATAGTAGTAATAAAGTTCAATTTATTAATGATATAAAATTACGTTTACATGACATACAACAACAGAAGTTTATTGAAGACAGTTAGATCCTATTCTAAGTTACGTTACTTTATAAAGTTTAAACAAAGAATTCATATAGAAACTTACTTACTTCAAATTAAACAAATTTTAAACAAAGACAACTATTAACCAAATTTCGTTTAGGAATCCTTGATATTGAGATTGAGACAGGTAGATGGTATGGGATTCTATTAGAAAAAAGATTATGTAAATTATGTTACCGTAATGAGGTAGAAGATTAATTTCACTTCTTGTTGGTCTGTCCTTTTTATAGTAAGTTAAGAGAAAAGTTATTACCAGCCTACTTTTACAATTATCCAACAGAAAATAAGTTTATAAATTTAATGTCAACTGACAAATTTACTTTGAGAAAATCTCAAAATATATTTATCTTGCTTTTAACAAAAGAAATAACTATGTTAATTAATATTGCATCTGATTTTGTTAATATTTGTTTTTATACTCCACGCCGTTGGCCTATGTTTTTGAATAAATGAAGAAGAAAGATAGTAAGGATTACTATGTTCAGGTTTTAAATAATCTTATCTATTAATTATATTTAATTTTAAATATATTGTATTTAAATATTTGTTTTATGAACAGAATATATAGGATGAATTATAGCTTGTTATAGTACTATGTAATATTAAAATGGAGCAATCATATAAACATATTATTGTTTAATTTTTGTACAAGAAGAATTGAAACAGGAAGAAGAATAGAAAAGGAGTGCCTTAAAATTATGTATGGAAAGCTCTATAAAAATAATACATTATTATTAAATTTGTACATGTTTAGCAGAATTTATCTCTGAAAAATTAGAGGAATCATCGGTTTTAGTGGAGTCTATGTAATCAGTATGCAATCCTCATCCTTCCCTGTTTGGAGTAAAAGGACCAAAGGAACTGTATTTTTACAAGCCACTCATGAAGCCTTTTTAGTCTTTGTATATCTTGTATTGAATTTGTTATCTTTTTATGAAAAATTGTGTCTTTTCAAAAGACAACCCTCAGCTCAGCCCTATAAGGTGGACAGACACTCTGAGTAGTGTATCCTTTGCGTTGAGCCTTTGTGAGTATAGTGTAACTTTTGCTTACATTGGCCCGATGCCAAGTTTACCACTGCCTCAGCTTGGGTATTGTCCAACTATCCTTCTCTCACTGCAAGTGGAGGTACCACTAATACCATCAAAACATAGACTGAACTAAGACGGATGATTCTATTTATATTTTGAAGGTAAGTTATGCTAAAAGAACTAGTTGGTCATCCAGGAGTGTACAGTATCTCACTTATACTTTTAATACCAAAATCACTGCTGATTTGTGTAATTGGTTTTTGTTATTTATATATTTTCAACAATATATACAGTATTATATATAATCAAAATATAATATATTATGGCATTTTTAGTTACTTTCTGCAATTATGCATACATCTGTCAAAATTTCATGACCACGTACTATTTACAGTAAATGTTATGTTTAATGGTCATCTTATGTCAAGCCATTTCTGCTTGCCATGTTCGTTGTTGTAATTTTTCCAATTCATTAAAGAATACTGGGTAAATAGTTAAAATACATAATTGTATTCATAGGTGATGTAACAGCAGCCGAGATTATAGTGCGTGACATAAACAGTACTTTTGTCCGGTTCACATGGGGCTCGGCATCTGGAACCTTTAACATGTATCGCATCACTATCGATCCTGTGCCAAACAATGGATCTGCCTCTTCTCTTGATGTGCCGGTTACTGATCAGAAGCTGGCTGAATTTGTTAACCTTACACCTGGGCAGATGTACTATATAACCATTGAAGCAGTCGGAACTAACATCAGTCTCGCAAATCCTGTCCGGACTTGTATGTATTTTTTGAGTTATATATTTTTCGCTATTTAAAGTAAAAATAAAAATTGTATGTTGTTGTATAAACTGTACTGTCCGTGGTCCTCCATCGATTTGCTTGCGCTAACAGGCTTAGCATATGGCTCTTTACCACTTACACTCAGGCCATTTATGGGCAAGAGAGGCTCTTCCATTATCTGTTTATCTAGGTATTTCAAAAATACACTAAAAACATCACAACTGATCTATTTTGACATTCAACTTCTATAAATAATGCCAACTTAATTTGTTTCCTAGACCCAGAGCCTGTTAGATCGTTAAAGACAGAACACTCCCTTGCAAAGTACACCTTAAATCTAAGTTTAATCACATTTAATGTACACCTTAAATCTAAGTTAAATCACATTTAATGTGTTCAACTGGTAATAATATTGCCATCTTCATTTGTTTCCTAGACCCAGAGCCTGTTGGATCATTATTATTTGCAACATAACACTCTCTTGCAAACTACACCTTAAATTTTACATTTTATGTATACAGCTAGTAATACTATTTGCCATTTTCACATGTTTCCTAGACCCAGAGCCTGTTGGATCGTTTGAGACAGAACACACTCTTGCAAACTACACTTCTGTAACCGTTACGTTCTCACCGCCTGAACTAGTAGATGGCATTGCAACGGTCTTTGACTTCTATGAAATTGTCTATCACACTGCAACATCAGTTCCCGTAACCATGATGCTGAATAAAGATTCTACTTCATTTACTGCTACTGATCTGGACCCAGACAAGACCTACTACTTTTCAATTATCGTTGTAAGTGGAGATCTTAAGAGTGGTCGTGAGCGAACCATTGCCAACACAAGTAAGTATGAATATTTTTATTCATGATTAAAGTTATAGCTTGGTTGTTAAAATGTACTCACTATTTGTGAAATCTAGTTAATGTCTTCACAGTAAAAATGGGGTAGGAATCTTTAGTATTGTAAGCGTTGAAAATTTAGTTAATTGAATATTCAAATGATAGAATTAATGTAACTACTGTAAATTGGCGCAAACTAATGATTTGTTTGTGGCTCATGCCAATCTACTGTGCTAAACTTTTTCTATCTATCTATTTAGCATCCCCTGGACCAGGTATTCTGTTTGTTCGATCAGTGGTTGGCACAAGCATTGACATCTCTTGGGGTGGTGCAGAAGATGATCCAGACTTTGAGGGCTACAGTATCACGATCGTGCCTGCCGATGGGATGATGGATGTGGACCTCCTTGAAAGGCGAGCCATGTTCACTGATCTTACACCTGGTGAAGAGTACACTATCTCCCTAGAGGTCACCAATGTTAACCCACAACCAGATACATATACTACAAGACTAAGTAAGTTGTTTTAGATTTGTAGTCCAGTATTTGGGGTTGGGGGAGGCAGTGGGGGGCTTAAGCCCCCCACCGGACAGGTCAAGCTCTTCCCCCACCCCTGTCTGACAGGGCTCGTCGGGCAGTCAGACCATAAAAAATATAAAAATAAGCCCACACCAAGCCAAAACATGTCTGTCACAGCCAGAGAGTGCAATCTCCAGACATCCAGAGGTTTCTATTCTTAAAAAAATCTCAATTGGGAGGAGAATCCCTCTCTCAAATCCTTCTCCCAGCTCGGGCCTACGAACTCAATTCTCCCTGTCGGACAGCTTACCCCGCCCCCTAAGAAAATATATCTTAGAGCCGCCACTGTTCCAGTAGTGTCCTTCTGGTTGAGAATTAGGCAGCATACAACAGGAGACAAGAGTTAACAATGAGTATGTGCATTTAACATACATAAAATTGCACACAGGGCCAATGCCTGAAACCCCTGTATCTTATAGAAAATCATAACTTGTATTTTACCCCTCTAGCTGAAACACAAGGAAAGCAACGATTAAAATTGAATGGAAATTGCTCCCCCAAATCACTTTCCTCAATAATAATATTAATATATTAAACGTTTTTGATTAACCAGTTCTTATTGTTTTCAGAGCCTGCACCTCCGACCTCTCTTGATGTCTCTTCAAAAACCGATACATCATTTACTGTCACATGGGAGAGGCCAGTGGGTGTGTTTGCTGAGTATCGTCTTGAGATATATGGATATGAGAATGCCGTTATTGAAGATACAACTCTATCAAGCGCATTCAATATCTACATAAAGTCAAGCCTGATTCCTGGTCGTAACTACACGGTCAGGCTAACAGCCAAATCTGGAAATCTTTACAGTGAAACAGCTACAGTGGTTGCTACATTAGGTAATTTAATCAATAGGGTTTTAAAGTTAGGTAGTAGCGTATCTAAGAATATAGAAAAGGGGGCTGAGTAGGGCATAAAGTTCAGGGTTCAAGGATTAAGTTACAGAAAGAGAGCTAGCTCACAAAAATAAGGTGAAACTGGACTTACTATTTTGTAAAACAGAAAATAGGGCTTTTTCTTATTGCCATAATGAGAAGTGATTTTGAAAAAAATAATTTAAAGAAAATTAAATAATAAAAAAGTATAAAGCAAAAAATACATGGAAAACAAACATACAATCATACTACCCAAATTATGAAGTAAAAAAAATAAACATGAAAACTGACGTCAGGGAGACGTTTGCAGTATGGCTGCACTTGTAGTAGCGAGGGTGATGTTGAGAGTTCTTACCATTACGCTAAATAATTTGACCTTGCGGAGGTCAGTGCATTTTTAGTTGTCACCCTCAAAATGGTATATTTTGAGTTTGAAGATTGTTTGTGCATTTCAAGGTAATTTTGTGCTTAACAGCTGTAGTTATTTTGAAACTCTTTAGAAAATGTAAATTGCGTAAATATAAAAGTTTAATTACCCATTTATTAATATTGAATATATGTGGAATGACGTCATATTTTTATATGCACACCTTTGTTTATGGCCTTTGCTTGGACAAAGTTAAAAGATCAGAGCATGGAAAGTACCAAATTGCTGGACAGAAAACCCTATGCAAAACATGGCTACAGAACATTTTGTCATATACCGTACTCGCGCGAATAAGCGCCTCTCTCGAATATCCGCCCCTCCTAACGTGAAAATTTCCTTAAGCACCCCGTTTGAACAAGCGCCCCCTTCTAATTCAATAATGTCATAGGATTTTCTTTATAACAAATCAATAATCCAATCAATCCTGCGACTGTGGTTGTTGGCATGATTTGAGTGGAAACACATTCTTATTAGGTTAGTATCAAAATGAGGATATTTCTCTTGGACAGATGAGAACTCCGATCCTTGGACAGACAGTATATTTCCAACTTTACACTTTTTAAATATTTGTCTATGCCTAGTCCTACTCCTCGTTTTTTTTAAATTATTTTCATAAGCGCCTGTTTGAGTAAGCGCCCCTCAGGAAGTGCAAAAAATATTTTAAGCACCCGGCCACTTATTTGCGAGAGTACGGTATTGATTAATCACTTGTTTGAAAAATATCAATTCAGAGGATGTGCTGTAGCCAAGGACACAAGCTACGGTGTCATATAGATAGATGATGATAACAAGATATTAAACCCTCAAGTAATTTTACATTTGTTTATACTTTCTTTATAGTATCGCTAGAACCACTTCAGTTTGACCTTCTTAGCAGATCATCTACGTCCCTAACCTATAATTTTGGATTTGTTGAGGGTGCAACTGATTATCACGTTTCAACAGACGATGACGACATTGTCCCCATTACTGTCCCAGTTGGAATGGAAACCTTTACCTTGAATGATTTAACTCCAGGCAGACTCTATGTCATCACTATCAAAGCCAGGATGGTAGCCACTGTCTTGAGAATGAACAGCACTGAAGTTAGAACAAGTAATGATAATTTAAATCTTAAATAATGAATTATTAAATACTGAAATCAATTAGTTTTTTTTTTAATTAAAATAATTGCATACATGCTATGATATAAAAATCATTTTATAATAATTAATTACAAATTTATTGTATTAAATATTGATTTTGATTATGCTGGATTAGTTGGTAAGTTTAAAAATCTAACATTAAAAGTTAATGCATTAAGTTTAAAAAGAAACTTAATATATAATGGAATATTTTTTGAATTTCAGCCCCTCTTCCAGTGGAGTCGGTCACTGTGATGAACACTGGACTGTCCACCAAAGTTGATGCATCATGGGTTCCAGCTTCTGCATCTGATTACACCAGTTTTGCCGTCTCATACACAGACGTGGCTAATGTGAGAACTGACCTTGGGATTACTACCGAATTGGAAATGACTATAACCGAGCTTGAACAAGACTCAACATATACACTTTTTATTACGGTGGTTAGTGGAGAGGAAACAGATACAGAGATACGTAGCAGTGCTTTCTCAAAACCCTTCTCAACAAGTAATTTCTATTATTAATTTCTTAATTATTATTATTAATTTCTGTATTTAATGACTTGTAATGAAAAGAAGAATGAAGGAAAAGAAAGTTTGATTTAATTGATTTGTTTATTCAGGGGCTTAAGCCAAGGGCTGCCAATAGAGAATATTGTTCATTGTAATAAATTACAAATATAAATATTTTTTTCATTCCTGATGATGACATAATTAATGTCGAAATATTGAATCCCAACACGATGGAGTGCATTTGAACACTTGGAATATGTATTATACTTCCTTATCTGAGAATAATCAGTGGACCTTTCAGTTACTGTGGTTTTGTAATTTTTGCGAAGAGTGACTGGTTTGGCTTGTCTTTGGCACATATGTTACTACTGCTTTTCGATAATGATAGTAAATATTACTACCAAGGGAGTGTAGCTCAGCTCATTCGGCTAAACTGGTGGTAGCTACTAAACCTTAAAGATTTTTGGTTCTGGGTCAATTTCATTCACTGCTATCCTTGTGGAGGTAGAGGTGTACTGCCCAATTCATCCCCAGAAAGACCCAACTTGAAATATGTCATCTGATTTTCGTGGGTTTTCCTATAGGAGTTATGTGATATTTATTCATATATCAAAACAAATAATAACAATCATTATTAGTAAATCATATTATTAAAATATTTAATGATATTTCTATTGATATATCATATTAATATAAATTGTTTAAAATTTGGCTAATGTTATTGGATTTTAAATTTCGATGGTATTAATTGTATTTGTAATTATTTTTTTTTAACATTCTACTCACTTGTTACTTGTTCCACTAGCCAGCATCTTGTTGAAGACACTCAGTAAGATGTAATTGTCCATGAGAATGGATGACATAACACAGCCATTGAGAGAGATCATTTTTAAAATTTTATTTTTACAAATGAATATTACATTGATATTAATTTTTATATTTTATTGACAGTGGTGTTAGATCCTGGCCAGATTGAAATACAGAGTTTCTCAACTATTTCCCTGACTGTTGTTTGGGGAGCAACAGACAACAATGCAGCAACATCGTATGATGTTGCAGCTCTTCTAGATGGCGTTATTGCTAAACAAATGACTGTAGGAATTGGTAAGATGGTGGTATTGGAAGACATTTATTTTGCAACAGAAGCCAAATTCTAAAAGTATTTTAAATTTGATTCAGAAAATTAACTAGGATAAAACTTCAGGTCAATACAATTTATTATTAATTTTACTAAAATAACCAAAAATTTATTGTGTAAACAGTAATCAAACAATTATTATCAAATCAGTCATTATTGATTTATTATTTTTTTATTAGGTGAGGAAACAAAAGGAACTCTTGAAGGCCTTGCGACTGGAGTTTGTTACGCTGTACGTCTTACAATCGGAGGAATATCATCTGTAACAGAAATTGAAGCGTGTACACGTGCGTATCTGGATAATAAGTTTAATTTTTTTAAATGTATTCATTGTGGTATAAAAAATAATATGGTGAGCCGTACTAGTCTTAACAGTATAAAAATTAAAAATTGCACATAGGCAGCCAATGGCTGAGTTTTTTTTTATATATATATATATAAATATGAAAGTAATATATTTTTGTTTAAAGTAGTTGTATATCCATGTTAGTCTAAATAATAATATTAATAACAGGTAATAATCATCCACTAATCAGACACCTAGTGAAGCTTGCATTGGCTGCCAGCAAACACTTATGTTGAATGAATTATCTTAATAATATTGATAATGATAAAGATTTATTTAGTACCAATTTCAAATCAATATGATCAAATGTTCTTGAGCGTTGTCACCCCTAGTCCTGAATAACATGTAACAGCAAACCAGCACAATGTGTCTCCTCTGTACCATGGGCCATATATAGTCCACTCAGCACATGAAACTGGTGTAATCAATGCCACAACATCCTATCAGGTACCCATTAATACAGACAGAGATAAATATAGATAATAGTGTATTGCCCATTGAGGAGACAACCACTTCTACATTATTATAAACAAGTTTTTCTTGCAGTGCTGCCTTGTTATTACCTGTTATGATTTTTGTTTGAAAGATTATTGGATATAAGCCTTAACGTTTCGACTGCTATCACTATCACGGCTAGCAATCATGATCACACGATCAAGGCTGGCAGAGATAGCAGCTGAAATGTTGAAGTAGCAACAATTTTGGCTTATCTCCAAAAATCTTTCGAACAAAATTATTTATAAAGCCATAATGTTCTTACAAATAAAATTAATGTACTGCCATGAAACTTTATTTAATTGTTGTATAAGAAGATTCATAAGTGTATAGAACACCATTTATTTCCATACTTCTTCATAGGAGAGGTACATCATTTACAATTAAACATTTTTCAGTATTTTTGGTACACAATAATACCTAAATAACAAGTAAGCATTTGACTTCCATGGGATTACAAAACTATCAAGAGAAATTTATTTATGTTGTTTAAGAACAATATGTTTGTCATTGATTTATTATTAATTATTTTAGAACCAAATCCTGCAACAAATTTTGAAGTGTCCATAATTACATCAACGACAATGGATCTTCAGTGGACGCCTCCAGTGGGCAGCTTTGATAACTATCAGATCACATACAAAGTGACGGGAGAGACTGAAACACAAGAAATGCTAGTTAACTTTGGCTTAACTACTGCAACCCTAACTGCGCTTACTCCTGAAACTATGTATGACATTAGCATTGTATCACAAGTACATTTTGTTGGTGGATCTGTGGACAGTGATTCTGCTACTATCCAGAAATCAACAGGTAATTTGCATTTCTTCTAAAAGTTAATAGTTTAATTTCTCTCTTTGTATTTTAATGAATAGGATCTAAATAATTCAAGAATGTATGTAATCAAAAATCTAATAAAATAGCATATTACACCAATGCAAAATGCTCTTTAGAAATTCATACAAAGATTGCAAACAAAAAACGAGTAGATATTGTAGATGCTCTTGTAATCAGCCATCTCAAATAAGCACAGCTTTAGAATAAGCAACACACCAAACCTTAGTTTTTTTTCGAAATCGAGATAATATATATTATTCATGTTATTTTTTTACCAATTCCATAAATAATAAATTACAAAATGCAATGTATGGTGGAGGAGACCAGAATTGAGCAGAGCTAGTACAGAATTATTGGCAACCTTAACATATATCTTGTATATATTAGATGCCCAACATTTATTCAAAATAAATATTATGTTATAATCACATATACGTGTTGTATTGTTACAAAATTATTAAACATCTAATTTCTTACAAAATTTATGATGCTAAACATTGCAACAAAGTCAGGCCTAGGGTGGCAATGGGCCGGTTGGCAACGGGCCTAGGGTGGCTAAAAGCTGTGTGGCAAAAGGCCAGTTGGCATATGGCCGGGTGGCAATGGGCTGGGTGGAAACGGGCCTAGGTCTGTATGAACATCAGGTGCAGTGAGTTGCTGGCTTCATTGTTCATGAAGTACCTACACAATTTTATAAAATTTTTAAGATATTGAATATTCATTAATTGCACTGTTTTTTAACCAATACTTGCTCCATTATAGTCACTTCCCTCATCCGTGTGGACTCCGTCACAACAACATCCTTAACCTATAGTTACGAACCCAGCGAGCAAAACACCAACGATTATCAGCTGGTGTACACACCTAACGAGGGCCTCCGAGAATCTCCTGTTAGCTATGCAGGACCGGTTACTGCTGGACAAGAGACACTGACGCAGCTGACTCCTGGAACTCTTTACTCTTTCTCATGGCAAACTGTAAATAGTGGTGTTTTCCAACAGGAGGATGCTGTGGCTGCATACACAAGTAAGTGGTTATTTAAGGCTGAGGCATCGGCCAGAATGTACTAGTGGTGATCCTTGATGTTCTGCAACCATGTCTTTCTATGAGCCTTGGAAGTGAAGTGTAGTTCTTACTTAGATGCTAGCATTCTAATTTGAAATATCCATGTTTAAACCTGTAAACCTCATGACTTGTGTCTTGTGTATAAAAAACTTCACTCATTAAGCCTCCTATATGGATCACCATTTCCACACAAATACTGTAAAATTGATTGATTAATTAAAAATTGTGCAGTGTACTGTATACATTTATTTAGGAATAAATAAATGCATATTTCAATTCTGAAAAAAACTAAAAGAAAGAAGCTGGCTAGTTACAAATAGAGCACCGCACAGCGGATAGCGCCACTAGACCTTTGCTATAGCAGCAGCAGACAACATATATGGTCTTTCGCTAATTACTGTATGTAAACATTGAAGAAGCTTCTTAAGACTTAGATTGTTTTTAATATCAACATTCATTCATTTTCCGTTTTAATATATTTGTGCCCATTAATAAATTAGTTTTATTGTTTAATTAATCCATGATGGTAATTACGTAGAGCAAAATGCTAGGCCTTCGGAAGTCCCCCAGTAGTAGTTGCCAGGTTCTCGGAAATTTTAATTTCAAATTTAGCGAAAAATAGTGTACGTTGTCCAAGGCACTGAATATATATAGTTGGATTGAAATTAAATCATGTGGGTTGAATTTTTTTTTATTGCAGAGCCAGAGCCAGTGACTGCTTTACAGATTACATCAACCACTAGCTCCTCGTTGACTGTTGATTGGACAGCGCCAACTATTGGAAACTTTGATGGCTACAAATTAGCGTATTTTGCCTTAGAGCAAGCAAACGATGCTGATCTCCTCGGACAAACACCCTCGCCAACATACTTTGAAAAGAATGTACAACTCCCAATTGTTTTGAATGGCTTGGCACCAAATGTTAAGTACTTTGTACAGATTAATACATATGTCGGCTCTAATTCACTTAGGGTTTTGAGTGATCAGGAAGATTTATTTATGAATACAGGTATGATTTCAAATTATTTTAAAAAGCATTATGCTGGCAAATACTGAATTTTCTTAAATATTTGAATATATTTACCATTTTTTCATAATTTTACTTTTAAGAAAATGTTGGTTAAATATTCATATATTCTAATTTTATTCATTGCAATTTGAATATCATTTGTAAATACTTACAGGTACCTGGATAAACCTACTATTGCCAATGTTTGAGAAAGGGAACATAATTCTAAAATATAGACCCATCCTCTGAGTGGGCTGTATTACATAATCTTAATTTTAGGCTTGAGCCCTTTGTATCATGTATGTTACATTTTGTAAACATTTTCAAAATTTCTTTCACAACCTTTGCTCAAGGACTTTTAAACTGTACCTTTGCAGAATTTTTAACTCATGACCCTAATCTGCTACTGAAAAAACTACCATTATCTCTCTAGCTACATCTGATGTATTTGAAGCCTATGTCATATCAGTCACCACATCCTCTATTGAAGTACAATGGAGCAATGCATCATCTGGATACACAGTGGCTATAACAAAGGTCAGCGATTCTACCACAATGTCAGTCTCTGTCGCAGATGACCTGCTTAGCTACTTAGCGTCTAGCCTCGACTCCGGTGAGGTTTATACCATCTCAGTTACTGCAGACTTATCATCAATGACTAGCACTATTCAACAGGCAACAAGTAAGATTTAATTAATTTAATTACGGTAATTATATGGCTTTCGGTACACCATGTGGTCACCGACGCTAACGCTGCTGATTAACCTACCGTGATAACTTTGTGTCCCCGCCTCTTGTTTGAAAAGATTTAGTTTTTAAATTTTATTTATCAAAGTATCTTTTTTTGATGATGTTTCATGCTGTTAAGCTGACATTCCTTCTGTTGTTATGAAAGAAGGTTCTCGTGAAATAATTACATTCTATAAATTTTATTTTATTCATTCTGGTAAATACAAATAAATGTACAAACATTGCAAAAACAAAATATTAGCAATTCACAAATATATAAGAATAAAGGATGTGCTGCTCCCAAAAAAAAAAAAAAGAATGAAATAACTTTCTTTTTTGTAAAAGCTAGTAAGAAACAAATTACTTACTCATTCAGCTTCGACCTCTAACTGAGATCTTTGTCAAATGACTGCTAAATGAAAACTTAAGTTATACAGAAGTACTGTACTCTATGTTTGCCACATATTCTATTACATCTAAACATTTAATCTTGTAGAGCCACAACAAGCGACTGGAGTAAGTAGCTCATCAACCACATCATCAATCACAGTCAACTGGCAAGCTGGTGCAGGAAGTGTTGACGGATTTATTGTTACTTACAGTCCTGATACAGGCAACCCAGTCCCACCAATCACTGTCATTCTTACTGCCACCCTTGAGGTATAAGATTTTACTCTTTTATGAGTATATGATAAATACAGTATATAAAATTTATGGTGCATATTATTTTAGGTAGCTTATTCACACTCACCGTGTGTAGATCTAAACCGAAAATATGTACATAGACTGTACTGAATTGAATAAATAAAGTAACTTTTTGGCTGGAGCAAATAACCAGCAACCATATACTGTGTATACCATAGGCCTATGATATTTACTACAGATACTTTGGCTTATTTAAAATAATAAGGAGAGATACAACTGGATGGATCATCTGTGTGTCTGAATATTCGGATGCATGGCGATACGATTCAATCTAAAGTCAGCTCCGGCGAAAGAAGATAACCAACTGATTCACGGCACCAATGAAACAGGTTCGGTTGAAAGTAAACATGTGAAATCGATACTGGTGTACTAGCAAAGCAAAACCAAAGCAACAATTAAAGCTGTATAATCCTGATCTACGTTGTGCCGACAGCACATCTTCGGTCACGCCGCTTCAAGACTCCTATCGTTGACACATGAGAGTCCTCTTGCAATAAAATCCCATAATAATCATTTGTCACACTATTAACAATTTTGAATACATAATAAAAAATGAATATATTGAAAACCAGATCATTCTAAATAATATTATTTGGTAAGGTAAATGAATTAATTTTTTCTGTTTGAATTTTTATTTATTTATCTGTCAGGTGACAATATCGGGCCTAGATGCTGATACCAGCTATGATGTAACGATTCAGTCTTATGTTGGAACTGAAGGCTCCCGCGTATTTGGAGATGCTGTCTCAGAAAATGTTTTAACTGGTAAAATTCTTTTATACTAGATATTTAATATTTTACTAAATTCATTTTTATTTTATTGAGATTTCATTTTTCATTCGTTCATTTCTGGTTTGGTCATAAACCACATTGACATCACAGTATAAAATCACTGAATTGCAAGTTGCAAAAACAATTCAACATAAGATGCCATAACACACTTATATAAAATGATATACAAAACACTCAAAGTGGACAAATTACAAGAAAAAAAGAACCATAAAGATTGCACAAAAAGTTAATCATATAATTAACATATCAATTTTAGAGATTATAAAAGTAATTTGAATGTTTAATTTGAATGTTTTTTGTGTACGGTAAGTGTAGGATAATTTAGGATAATGTTGTCGATTTCATAGATACTTACCTGGAGATTGCTGGATATAATAATGATTATTGTATAGCTTTCCCGTTGATTTGTCCATCTAAACATAAATAGCACCTTTAATCTTATCACATCAATTACAATCTACTCGTATTTAGTTATTACTTTCAGTTTATTTTAACTAGCAACATACACAAAAGATACAGTGGCAGTGAACTCTTAAATAGTACACTACAATACAGTATATAAAACACTGACAATTTTATTTTTCTCTTTGCAGAATTACCTGAAGGGGCAATGATAAGCGTCATCAGCACAACATCCAGCACCATCAATGTGGCATATACTGAATCATTTGAGTCTGATGTCACATCCTTTACTGTCACCATCACTAGCGAAAACAATGTAGTGACCACAGACTCTGTGCCAAAAAGTCAACTAACTTACCAATTTGAGGGTCTGCAACCCGCCACTTTCTACACCATTTCTGTTTCTACTAACGGAGCAAATGTAGAGTCTGGAATGGCAACTACTATTACAAGTAAGACAAACAATTAATCTCAGTAACTCTGATGAGGGCAGTATAATAGAGGCAGTAGATCTAAAAAAGATCTGTTAATCATTTAACTATTAATCAATCAGCTGAGTGTTTCTAGAGCTAATCATGAGTGCAGTATAATAGAGGCAGTAGATCTAAAAAAGATATATTAATCAATCAACTGTTAATCAATCAACCTCATGAGGGCAGTATAATAGAGGCAGTAGATCTAAAAAAGATATATTAATCAATCAACTGTTAATCAATCAACCTCATGAGGGCAGTATAATAGAGGCAGTAGATCTAAAAAAGATGTATTAATCAATCAACTATTAATCAATCAACCTCATGAGGGAAGTATAATAGAGGCAGTAGATCTAAAAAAGATATATTAATCAACTATTAATGAATCAACCTCATGAGGGCAGTATAATAGAGGCAGTAGATCTAAAAAAGATATATTAATCAATCAACCTCATGAGGGCAGTATAATAGAGGCAGTAGATCTAAAAAAGATATATTAATCAACTATTAATGAATCAACCTCATGAGGGCAGTATAATAGAGGCAGTAGATCTAAAAACGATATATTAATCAACTATTAATCAATCAACCTCATGAGGGCAGTATAATAGAGGCAGTAGATCTAAAAAAGATATATTAATCAACTATTAATCAATCAACCTCATGAGGGCAGTATAATAGAGGCAGTAGATCTAAAAAAGATATATTAATCAATCAACTATTAATCAATCAACTTCATGAGGGCAGTATAATAGAGGCAGTAGATCTAAAAAAGATATATTAATCAATCAACTATTAATCAATCAACCTCATGAGGTAGATCTAAAAAAGATATATTAATCAATCAGCCCAGTGTTTCTAGGGCTCTTCATCAGAACTAAAATTATTTGTCTTCAATAGATGATTATTATTGATGTGCATTGCTAAAAAAAATTGTAGACACCTATCAATTTAAAATCTTCTCTTTTTTTTTTTGCAGACCCATCGAACTTAGCTAACTTAACAGTCACAGATAAAAGCCAGTCGCAGATAATGCTCTCATGGATAAGCCCAACTGGTGATTTTGATGGCTACAATGTAGAATATACCACAGCATCAGGCCCAGCTGTAAACAAAGAGCTTCCCTCCTCAGACACATCATTGTCACTTCAAGACCTGCTTAGTAATACAGAGTACACATTCACATTAACAGCATATATTGAGAAATCTGGATTTTCAAAGGAGAGTGAAGTATCAACTATATCCGTCACAACAGGTAAATAATATATAATAATAATAATAGTTTGCATTTATAAAGCGCTCTTTGCTATAAGACCATTAGTCTGTTGGAACAGTTGAGTATTAAGGAGAGACTTGAATTGGTTGAAAGATGAAGGCTGACAGATCTTAAGTGCCTTAAAGATTAATTTTCAAAATTAGATTGTTAGAAAAAAGCTCAATACTCATCAACCATGTCTACATAGTGGTAACACTAGTAGTCAAGGTATCACCACTGGGAGTATCACTTACCTTGACTACCTTTCTGAGAACACCACTCACCTCAACACCCACCGAAGCCCCACCACAGTTGTGGATGAGGTTAAAAAATATGTTACCTCTAGATGCCTGAAAATGGCACTGCAAGTCTTTGAGGCCTGAGTCAGGTAACCCCAACGGCTGGAACCGTTGTCACCACCTTCGATGCAATATTTATCTACGTAGTTTTTTTGCAAAAACCATGTGAATTGCTTGCCGGCTGAGTGGGTCTGAATAAACGACAGCAGGCTGTTGTCTACAGTGGGCATTTTCTATTAACTGAGGAACTTTTCCATCATCATTGATTTCAAGAATGTTTTGTTATTAGATGCTCTTGTTTTGACGATAAACGAGCTCTCAACCACATCATTAAGAATTACCTGGACGGCAATCCCTGATACTCAATATGAACTGATTATTGATCCACCTGTCGGAAGCCTGAATTCTGTCTTGTTGAATGAGGGAACATTTGATTTAAGTGAGCTCACAGTTGGAATCACATACCAGTTCATTCTAAATATAGTTGTTGCTGATGATCAATCGAGGTTACTTGTTGGTAAAACAACGTACACTCTACGTAAGTAATTTATTCGTTTTATCCATTATTGTTAATTTTATAGCTGGGGTTCACTATTATACTTTCTATTATAGGTGCATTGTTTTGTAGAAGTGATCGTTATTATCATGAGACAATTGTATTTTGCATGTTCACTGTTGTGAAATGCTACTTGAAAGCAACTTATTTGTTATACCTGTAGATGGTATTTTACTTGACAATGAATTAACATGGCACATGGGATAGCACAATGGGAATGAATAATGTTGGCTGTATGAATAATGTTGGCTGTATGCCATTTCACAAACATTTAATGTGGCAAAGACAAGCCAAACCAGTCACTCATCACAAATCCTGTTTCAGAGATAATGGCCAAAACATATTGGAATATCAACATTTTTTTAATATATTTTATTGCACTATATATAACCTTTATATATTTGCATATCATGCTATGCTGTTATTTTCCCCATTTTCGATGTTAAAAACAATTTTTAATGATTTGGTGATGGTGGGATAGTTTCTGCCTGAGAAATGCCATTTTATAGCTCTCATTTTACTGTTTAACCCTGTTTTAATAACTAAAAATCGATTTTTGCGACGAGTGACTGGTTTGGCTTGTCTTTACCACAAATACACATACTGTACCATGATAAATAGGTTATTGTTCATAATACAATTTGTAATATTATTAACCATTTGATGATTTATGATGTCAGGCTTTACATACAAGTGTATTTTTACTTCAGCTCCGGAGCCACCATCTCAGCCTGTCGTTAATGATATAACATCCACATCAGCAATCGTTTGGATTACTCCACCTATTATCGGCAGTCTAGGCAGCCTCAGCATCCTAATCTCAGAAACTGCGCTGGGTGCTGGTGCAGGCACTCCTATCGATGAAACCATTGTTGTTGCGAATGATGGATGTCCCACCCTTCAACTCACTGGGCTAAAGCCTGGCACCATGTATACGATTACGGTTAACAGTGTTAGTGGGAATGCCATGAGTACTCCTGTACAATCAACATTTACAACTGGTTAGTAACAATTTTTGTTTGTGTTATTGTATATTGAGCAGGGGCAGATTCAGGTTTGGGTGGGGTAGATTGAGGGGAGGACTTCCAAAAATTTCTCTGTCATTAGTCTGGTGGTTGAAACCTTCTGAAAAATGTTCTTCTGTAATAATTTATTTTGATTTGTAGGACCAGCTGTAGAGGGAACTATTAGTATTGGTGAAGTGACTGCAACCAGTATTGTTGTTTTCTGGGAGAAGCTATCAAGCAAAACATCCGGCAGTTACCAACTGGTTCTGGAGCTCAACAACATTGAGGTTCAGAGGATGTCATTTGCATATGATTCCGTTGCAGAATACACATTTGTTGACCTTATTGATGGAACTCAATACGAGATTATTTTCTTGGATGAAGACTCCGGCACATCGCTTGATACTACATTTCAAAATACTAGTAAGATTCATTGATTTAGTTTGACAAAAATACATTTTAAATGGTAATACTAATATTAAAAATAATATTATTAACTATGATATAAATGAAATGATTAATCATAATATAATTACTAATAATACAAGCATATTTATGCTATGTAAATCCATCTATTATTAATAATCAGAATAATATATCATAGTAATAATATAAAAATATGACTTTTAATTTTATTAATAGTAATAATCCATTAAAATAATGATAATTACCGACATTGTCAGTAATAATATATGATTATATGATAATATTATAATAAATATATAAGTAATTCATAAATAAGATTCTGTCTACTGACTAATGTACAAGTGAATTATTTATGATTTGAAAAGAAAGCTAACATATCTACTAAAATTCATGGATTTATGTCTCTTTTAGGACCAAATGAACCAGGTGATGTTACCTTGGCAATGGAAACTGGATGTGCAGATATAGATCTCACCATTAATTGGTCCCCTGCCTCTGGAAATTTTGATGGCTATCAGGTAGCTATAAATCTAATGACGATAATGAACACTTTTTTTTATATGTTGTTGGACTGATAAACGAACATATTATTATTGTCTGTTTCATGAATACTTACCTGGATTAACCAATATAAGCCAGATCCTAAAGGCCAATTCAGGCAGCGTCGTACAACGCAGCCCAACACGAGTTGTCGCGTCGGGTCTGTGTGAGTTGCGATGGTTTGTGTCAGGGACAGTCGCGTCGTAGAATATTAAACATGTTTAATATTTCTCACAACGGCTCAAGACTGTCCCCGACGATAAATCGGGTCGTGCTGCATCGGCCGACGCTGTCTGAGTTGCCCTTAATAGAACTTACCAGTGAAAAATAATGGAATCGTATATGCATCAACGTTATGTAACAAACCTCAAATTTTCTTTCGCCGTGAGCGAGTATAGTGAAAGTCTTACCTAGTGAAACAATAAGGCACTTGCTCCTTGTTGTGTTGATTTTTATGTTGAAGCCTTTTGTTGATGCGTTATATACACCTGGGTTAGACATTCCATTATTATTCACTGGTAAGTTCCAATATTAGATTTACTGGTCCTAAACTATGGAATTCTTTACCTTTCCTAGTTGTCGATTCCATTAATAAAAAGTGATTTTCTATCCAGTAAAGAAACACATTATTTCTAGTTATTAATACAGTCAACTCCCTTAGTATCATTCTTTTTCTTCTCTAACTTATGCTCAGTGTCTTGGTCCAATTTGAACTGTTGCTTCCTTTTTGTGTATCTTCTTTGTCCAGTTTCGTCCATGTCCTTTTTCTTTTCTGTTTGTTTTTTGTGTCTCCCTTTTGTCTTTTTGTTTTCAGGCTGACTCTTCACAAGATGATTTTCTTCTTGGGTCTCCGCCTTTTTCCTTTTTTCATGAATTTTTTATGATCTTATTTTATATTTTTGTACGAATTGACAAGGAATTAAATAAATGCTACTTTGAATTGAATTGAATTGATTCTATTATTTTTTTGCGGGTAAGTTCCATTAAGAATCTGGTATATATATCAGTTCATTCAGGTAAATATCTCAGTCAGACCAACAACATCACTTCTGATTTGTGTGATTTCATTTAAATAAAAATTTAATTTATAGTTTTCAAACCTCTATGCTATGAGCCCCATCTGCAGAAGCCTCACCCATTTTCTCTGTGGCACAAGATGTGTAAGACTGTAACTTGTAACTCCTCTTCATGCTGTGAGCCTCAAGCCTATCTCTTAATGTCCTCAACATATCATATCCATATTGTAAGCCACAAAAGTTCAAAAAGCTTGGTTTCTATACAATCACTACAAGCTATCGCTGACTGCTGTCAGTGATGCTGATTGGTCGTTCAAATCAGGGAACATTCTCGATTGCATTGACGACCGCTATGCAGTATGATTGCACTGAAAACACTGTAGTGACAGTGTAGCGATTTTAAGGAAACCAGGCTAAATAAACCTAATATTTGTACCATGAGATGATGATAATATGGAAAGCGTTATATATTCCATTCCATTCCATGTAATATCTAATACAACAATCTTGTACAAAATTGTATTCCAGTCTCCGAATAGCGCTCTCTGTATGTAATTGTCAAATGTGAAGCGTACATTTGAACTTTTTTTTTTAATTTATAGATTTGTTACCGACCTGTTGACGGACCGCAATCTCCAATCACAGTTTCTAGCGCTTCCTCGTCATACACATTCGTAAATTTAAACCCTGACACAGAATACACCATTAGTGTTGCAGCTTACACAGGAACAGATAGTAGGGTGTTAAGTACAAAAAAGACTTTGATCATACGAACAAGTGAGTTAAGAACTGTTTATTGTTATCATTTATATAATCATTATTGAGGTTTTTATCAGATGTGTATAAGAGACAGATATATATATATATTGATTTAAAAGCATAGGAAAAAACCCAGAAACACAAAGAGTAATAATGCAATGAATAATATAAATTGAAATGTAACAAATTTATATATAAATATATTATATATTATATTATTATGTATTAATTTTATTATAGAACTTGACTGTAGCATATCAGATCCAGGGGTCCTAACGGCAGTGGCGGTAAATGATGCATCTATACGTGTAGAGTGGGAGTCTCCTTCTGGGGACAACTATGATGGCTTCCTCATCACATACACCCCGGACAATGGCCAGCTTAGCTCAACAGTGTTTGTATTGAGAGATCTTCGTACCATCTTGTTGTCAGGGTTGATTTCTTCTGAAGAATACACTATTTCATTGGTTACTGTTAGAGAAGGTGCAACCACAGAGAAGTCGAACGAATTGACTGTCAAAGAAACAACAGGTAAAATTAATATGCTTTTGTTGTACAATATTTAATAAAGTAATTGTGTTTAATAAAGCTAAGCTCTTGTACAGTACTATTTTACCACCAGATTACAATTTACCATTCCTGATCATAAGGTATTTTTACCTGCTTTTGAAGCGGGTAGGGCTTATTATTAACCATTTTGTATTAAATACAATGTGTGTGTATGGTTTGCTGCTCCAGGTGCAGCATCCCCGACTGCACCATTTTAGTGGGGTGATTGTCTCCCTGTTACTGCCCTGGACGATGATTACTAGGCTGACATTCCTTGTGGCCTTTATCGTCATGCTGTTCTCATTATGCTAGCTAACTTTGGACAACTGGTAGCTTCATATATTACCTTGTCGACTTTGGTGGCCGATGAGCCAAATTTGTTGGGTTCTCTTTCACTAGTTTGTGCCTCAGCTGTGCTCGTGGTTCCCCTCCACCCTGGGTGTCCCATGGGCTTAGCCAGCAGGTTATGGAACCAACTAGGAAACTTGGCACAAGTCAGTTCATCCAGATATGTATCTCACTCATAGACTACCAACATCACCGCTGATTTGTTTGCATAATTTGTATAATATTTTTTTTTTATTCTCTTCAGATGCTACTGCCTTTGGTTTGAAATTGGTGAGTGCCACTGACAGTAGCCTTACATTTACATGGAGTCGAGACAACACGCCTGCCACTATAGATGATTACACCATCACATACACTCCAGCGGATGGTGATTCATCCTTTGAGTCAAACGTACAAACCTTTGGAATTACAGGACTTCAAGATGATACGCAATATTCTGTTACGTTGCGTGCGAAATATAACGGAAATATAGTGTTTTCAAGTGATATCACTGTAAAAACATGTAAGTTGTCAGAAAGTTTGGAATCTAAACTGAGAAACATAATGAGCTTAGTCAGATAAATTGTGGTGTGTGTGTGTGTGTACTCTGAGATCTTTATGTCTGTGGTTCATTTTCATTGCTGCTCTTTTCGAGCTACATGTTTAGAATACAAATTACTACAAATGTCAAAGAGACATTGTCTTTGTTTAGAATCACCACCCTTGGTAGGTAACTAAAAAATGAGGTTTTTATCCATAATAAACAAAGAAGACAGGGTCCTAGGAAGTAGAAGACGCCCCACCAATACTCTGCGAGCAAGCAAGAATTAACTCTCGCAAATTTATATGTTATTACTACTGTATTATTAACAGTCAACCTGGAAATGGATGTAACCATGCACAGAAAAGTAAATATTGATGTGTTAAGAATGCTTATTTAACTACATCCACCGGAAGTGGTCCCCCACATTTTGCGATCCGTGAAAATGAAAATAAAATGATCCAGCTTCACTCATTTCGTCATATTTTTCTTATAGTATTGTCAGCACCACCAACTCCAGAATACTCTGCCATTGATTATGGATATGGTCTCCTTCAACTGAAAAATCCCACTTATCTGTATGATCATTTTGAAGTTGCGATTTACACTATTGTTGATAATTCAAGATCGACCTCACCAATCAGCGAAATGAACCTGCCAAGGAATGCCTGCCCAAAATTGAATTTGAACCTGTTGCAGCCATTCTTAAGCTATGTTGCTGATGTAGTTGCAGTCCTTGGCAATGGAGACAAGAGCACTCCAAGATCCTTCAGTTTTAGCACCAGTAAGATTTCATAATATTTTATTTATTACAATATGTATATCTTCATCATTTATAAGAATTCATTTTCAAATAATAATCGGCTTTTAATTAGTGTTTAATAGGCAAATCACATTTTTACCACCATATCCAATTTTTTTATAAAGTAAAACAATAACTACAGAAAATAAATTATTTATGTTATCAATTAATTTTTTTTGAACAGATTCTCCTGGAAGCTTAGATATAAGCACAACATCTGTAACGCTTGACTCAATTGAGTTCACATGGACACCTGCATCAGGTGATTTTACGAACTACCTTGTAAGGTATAACCCAGCTGATGGCACCACTCCTGAAGTAACTCTGAAAGCTAAAAATGACCGTCGCATGGTTCTTCAGGGACTTGCTGGTGGTACTTATACCATCCAAGTAGAAACACAGGGAAATGATATGCAGGTGTCTAATGAATACATGCGGAGAACAGGTAAGTTGTTGCTGTTTTTCCGGTCATCAAAATAATTTCGATCAGTTTGGTGCTAAATCAGAAATTTATAGTATTGTAATCAGTTTGAGAACTGTTTATTTGGGCATATTTTTGTTTTAATTAATAAAAATATGAATATAAAGTTGAAGATTTTTGAAGATTTGGAACGCCCACGAATAATGACCTCTATTTGAGTTTTAAGGAAAATGACGTATGCTTTGTACAACTCTCGAGAATTTTTTTATACTTTGTTCCGCAATCTGCTGCCCACCAATAGTAATAATTTTGGGAAAAAAATGTTGGCACTCTCATGCACATGCCACTACGAAAAAATTGCAAATTGGAAAAAAAAAATTAGTGATGATATTTACTTTTATAATGCCTGCTATTGCCTTTAAATCTTCCAATAGCAAATAATTATTTCTTCCTTACAATTATGTAAATATAAGCAATTTTCAATCCAATTATTTAATTGTTCTATTGGAACTCAAGCATAGGCATAAGGGTGCCCTCTAACCCTTTGACCTCCCATACTTTTTACATTTAAAATAGTATAAAACAGGATTAATATTGAGTCACTTTAACAAAATGTCTTAGTTCTCAAGGTGGTTTGGCACAGTGGGTTTGGTTTCAATTCCACTCTGTGCATTTCAATTGTGTCCTTGAGGAAGGCACTTTTATCTACAATGCTTCTCCACCGAAGATTATATAAATTAGTATTCGGTAGTGTTGCCCGCTTATTTACTGACTATGGCAACTGGTTCTGGTATGGGCATATAAATGCGCCTCTTCATTGATGTTATACAGCGCAGTTCTTTTCCCTTGTCATTGGGTCCAGTGTTGCTGCTGGAAATCAGCACAGGAGCAGGCAACCCCACCAGGCAACAAACTAAGCAAGTGGACACAATCAACTGGGGGAGGAGGTACATCACATATCTGAATAAAAGAACTAGGTAATTTTTTAGAATTAAATAAATAATCAAGTCATTACTATCCATTCCATAGAACTTCCTGCAGTCATGGATGTACAAGCTGTCGCTACAGAGAACCGAACTTTAAACGTTGACTGGACTATTGACGAGAGTGGCCATTATTTCCAAATCTGCTACCAGACACTGGGATATGATTCACAAGTGGTGTACACCATAGTTGGAGAGTCAACGACATTATTGAATCTTAACTCTGACGCTGAATATTTGATATCTGTTTCCACAGCAAGCACCCTTGCATTCAGTGACCCACAGTCTGTAATGGCAGAGACACGTAAGTATAAAATATATATAATAAGATCATGCACTACTTACAAATTGTGAATTTTTTGGATATGGAATTATGTGGATAAATGCTAGCACCCTCTGCAAGTTTGCATATCAAATGATATTTTGATATATACTGTGCAAACATTTAAAATATCAAGAATATGCTTTTCTAAAATTTCATTGTGGTTCTCCAATGTATTTGACACAAATTACACATTTAAAAAAAAAATGGTATATGATCTTTTAATATAATTTTCTTTTATAAAACCTGTACAACTAATTGCAGGTTTACTTTTATATGATTAAATATCTGGAAAGACTTTCAACATAAATTAATTTCTTTTTTCATTAGAGGAGTCTTTCCCTTGTGATATCAAGTCACAGACCTTTACAACAGATTCAGTGACAATTACATGGGCTGCTGATCCAGATTTAGCATCTGAGTAAGTCTATTTCTGTTATTATATTGTAATATTATAATAAAAATAATAATAATAATTATAAAAATTACCGTTACCATTAAAAATTACAGGACCTACAATAAAATTTAAAACATGACTGATGTCATGACTGATGGGTGGCACACACTCTGCTGACAGGCGTTGGTTTTTTTAGGTTTGAACCATAGGTTCAAGAATTTTTTATGGCATATAAATAAATTGTAGTTAAGTATTAAGCCTCTTTAAAAAAAAAAAAGAAAAAGGGGAAAAAAAATCAGTAACACACCCCCATGGATGGCAAAACCTGGTAAAACGAACAAGGGAAGACAACGTAAAAGATTAAGAGATGATATCGATATTTATTGGGGAAGAGTGAAATGGTGCAACACACCAAGAGAGGAAGATTGATTTGGCATCGACATCCTGAGACATTTGTCCAGCAGTGGACCGACAATTAGCTGATGATGAAGCCTCTGAAGGTTATCAACGTAATTACCTTACCACATACCCTGGTCAGTCAACAACAGTGAACAAAAATATTCTGAAATACAGAAATAAATAATAAAATTAATTAAACAAAATTAATGCCGAAATAGTACAATTAAAATCCAAATGGAAGAATTGAATAAGGTAAAGATGTTGCGGCATTTTTTTAATAAGAAATATTTCTTGTTTAAAACATAAAGCATCGCATTTTTGGGATCTTATAAAGTTCAATGAGCAATTTACATTTAATATTACATGGGTCGCGAATTGTCTGGGAAATCACAAATTGGGTCTCAGAGAATGCATTGCGACAATGTGCCCACAACAGATTGTTTTTAATTACCAGTTTCTTCAGACTGCCACGGACAATCAACAGGCAGCATTCACAGATAGCTGAGATGGATCCGTCGACTAACAGTAGTACAGTGCAGTGTGTCCTCAGCTTAAGAGTCTTGATTTTATATAAAGCATTACATTAGTTTATGTATTAAAAAAGTCCTGATATCAGCTGACCTAGGATAAGCAGGAAGAGTTGCCCTCTATACATATTGTGGGGAGAAATGAGACTGCACTTTTAAAAAGGGGTAATGGTTGATGTATGCAGCACAGAATGATACAGGATCTTGGAAGCTTCAAGAGAGAGCTTAAAACATTCCTTTTCTGTGCTGCATATAACTGATGAAATACTTTCAGAAGCGCCATGAGCATCATATTTGGCGGATACCGGCACTATATAAATGTTCTATTCTATTCTATAATAACAATAGTATTGAGATTAAATGTGGGCTGTGCATTCAAACATAATACAGTAGTTTAAGAGCATTACACTGCTTAATTATGTAATTAGCGTATTAAAAATTTGCTATTATTTCAGTTACGAAGTCATGCGAACAGATCGAGATGGAACGTCAAATGCTTTTACAGATACTGTGTCAAAATCTGGCAATGCTGCTGAGACCTACACATTCAGTGACCTTACTCCAGGGCAAGAGTACTTACTCAAACTCACATGTGGGACAAAGACTAGGTATACACGTGCCAGGACCAGTAAGTATTGAGTATGACTAGTGAATATTGAGTACTAATGATTATTGAGTAAGATTAATGAATATTTTAATAATTTATTGTGTATGACTAATGGATATTGAGTAGGACTAATGATTATTGAGTAAGATTAATAAATATTGTAATTAATTAATTATTTTTATCATCATAACCATTATCATCAATGATTATGGAGAAGAACCAACATGTGTTAAGAAGGATGAGTGAGTTTCGAGTAGGACAAACGAATATCGAATAGGATCAATGAGTATTGAGTAGGATCAATGAATATTGAATAGAACTAATGAATATTGCGAAGAACTAGCATGTATTAAGTAAGACCATTGAGAATTGAGTAGTACTAATGCATATTGATTAGGACCAGTTAGTATTTAGAAGGACAGTGAGTGCACAAGAAGAGCTTTGATCAGTAAAGAAGATTTGTAATAAGGAATGTTAGTGAAGGTGTACTTGCCTTTCTACTCAGGATCAAAGCCCATATATCAGGCTATCATGGCCAAGTCACAGCTTAAGACATATTTTTGTTTTCCAGTGACTTTTCGCACACGTTGTGCCTTTTATCTTGTTTGGAATTGGCGTCATATAAATTCAAGATATTATTATTACATGTCTCCCTGGTATGCTAAAAAATGAAGATGCAATATTATTATAAATTGAAAAAATTACTACATTATGGTAAGAGAAATAAAGTAAATTCTGAATCTATTGATACCATTTTTTATGTTTAGGATAAAATAAATTATATATGATTTTTTTCATGTAGTTCCCTTACCACCAACTGATTTCCGAGTTGTAAATACTGAACAAACTGCTGTGGATCTTGCATGGGTTACTCCGTCCAACAATGTTTTTACATACTATCAGATATCTTACACTCCAACTGGTGGCAATCCTGAATCGCCAATCAATGCTGGAGCAGCAGTAACACAGCGTATTGATTCTCTTGCGAAAGCGACGCGTTACACGTTCAAAATTGTAGCGTATGCTGGTGAAGGGTCCCTGCAGAGGGTTAGTGATGCTGTGGAGGTATCAACAGGTAAATTGATATTTATTATTATTATTATTATTATTATTATTATTATTGCTTAAAATAATGAATGATTTTAGGGATTAGATCAATGTAATTCATGTTTATTGAGCTGCAGCAGTGCAAGAGCCATTGAGGGCATTATAACATTTTACATACATTTTTTCACTATTACATCAATTTAGTAGTGTTGCATACTCTTTCTAAAACTTCCGTTGCTTTTCGTTGCAGTCACTCCAATACAAATGTATGTAGTAAGCTGGGATACAAGAACCATTAGTGTTAATTGGGACACCGTTAATGATATGTTCGATAACTATGAGGTCTCCTATTCTCCGTACGTTGATAATGTTGGCGCGTTGCCCTCACCTAGACCGGTTGGAACCAGCACTAGCTTGGAAATTTATGGCCTGTCCCCTGGAGAGGAGTACACCATCACTCTGAAAACGTTCAAGGATTTGATGGAGATTACCGAGCTTACTACCACAGTCGTACAACAGACAAGTATGTTATATTTTTTATGTTTATCTCATTAATAAATGATGATTGCTATTTTTCCGTTGCGTTGAGGGCACACTGTAACTGACTTATTTATCTCAATGACCATCGCACAGTCCTCGTCACATTGCATTCTCAATGGAATCACATCATGTCGAGGACCGTGGTGTGTGCGTAGCGTAACATACCAGCCCTTGAAATTATTATTGAGGAAATAATTAAGATCAGTCCTGTTTTGTGCCATAAAAAGTTTGAAATGTGAAATTTTGGGAACATGAGAAGTTGTTTATATCATTATTTTGGTATGATTATTTTTACAATACAGTGTGATATAAATATTTTTATTACTTACAATCATTTATAGCCCTTTTTTGAAAGCATGATTATGTCTTTAATATTAGGCATGATTATTCAGATTCATGTAGTATTTCATTTCTCAAATTAAATATTATAATTGCCATTATATTAATTGAAAATACTGTACTTTGGCAGTTAACATAAGTTAACGTACTTATTCAAATATTTCTTGGATCATCAAAAAGAAATCCTTAACAAATACATGTAATTAGTTCTGAAAAACAGTTTTGCCTTGTTAGGAATATAATTATTTAAAATATTTTGATCATAATAATTAATATTAACTACTGAAATGTACTCTTTTACAGAGCCTGCCTCTGTTCCTAGCATGGACATCAATCAAGTCACAACGACTATGGCTGTCGTCACGTGGGACAGAGCTGATGGCATCGTGGACGATTATGAGTTCAGCTACTCTTCTTGGAACACTACCGCCATCACAAGCACCGTTGCATTTGATAGTGAACGGTCAATGACCTTGAATAACCTTGTCCCAGCCACTGTTTACACAGTCACTTTAGTTACCATGAGTGGAAATCAATTTAGTGATGTGTTAAGTAAAGACTTTTCTACAAGTATGTGAAATATGTTGTATTATTTCATCAAAGAATTTAATAATGAAAATATGTTATGTAATCTATAGAGCAATCTATTTAATTGTTAGCATTGGAAAGGCATTGACTTAAAGAATTATCAACTTAAATACATCATTTTATTTTGATTTGATGTAATTTTTGTTTCTATTTTGCTGTTTAATGTAATCATAATAAATTAAATTTCTAACCAAATTTACATTAATAGGTTTTGAGATAAGAAAAAAAATGATCGATATTTTCAGATAAACTTATGTTGTTCTTATTTTTCACATTTTTTTGTTTCTTCAGCTCCTTTACCACCTAATATTACTTCAGTAATTGCGACAGAAAATTCGCTTACAATTGAATGGGCATTAGTCTCAAGCGTCAGTGAACTTCAATTGGACATCTCACCTCCTGGTGGTAACCTACCTGTTGGTAAGTATGAATCTTCTGCATGCTGAATATTCATTATTAATAATAATATGAATATTCATAATAATAATATGAATATTCATAATAATAATATGAATATTCATAATAATATGAATATTCATAATTATAATATGAATATCCATAATTATAATATGAATATTCATAATAATAATATGAAAATTTATAAGACAAAATAGAATGACAGTATTGGCTAATCCTTAGATGATTTTGTTTTTAAATAAATGGAAGACTGGAGGTCTGTTTTTGTGAATACTTGCCTGAAAAAAACCAATAAATGTACATTACAGAGCGATTTTCTAATATGCACATTTTCATATTATATTTGCAAAGTGATCCTTAGCTTACCTATAGTGGATATATTTCATAAATACTTATCTGGATAAATTGACTATGATTGTCTGCACTCAAGTTCTGTGTGTTGAGTGTGCAGATATATGGGTGCTGTTGGCTCCTGCACGCCTCACCCACCCAGCCTTTGTTCTCAGTGTGGAACATTCCTTTGACGAAAATGTGAACAGTTTGTCCTATTATTGTTGTTATTATTATTATATCTGTTGTTGTCATCAGCATTTTGTAATTATTATTATTGCTGTTATTTATTGTTACTTTATTGGTATCATTCCTGATGATGACATAATTAATGTTGAAATATTGAATCCCAACATGATGGCGTGCATTTCAATACTTGGAGTATGTATTATACTTTCTTATCTGAGATTAATCAGTGGACCTTTCGGTTATTGGTATCATTGTGGAGGATTATCATCACATCAAAAATTTAACCCTGGAATTACAGTGCGTTGACAACTAATCTTTGGCTTATTTTCGATCTTGAAAAATTTAAAATTTATGCTGTTATTGCTGTCATTTTAACATTTTTACCCTGTACCATTTTTAACTACTTGTTGCATTTTATCTTTTATATGAGAAATGAAATTTCCTTACACTGATGCAGGATGAAAAAGCGTTTTTAATCTTTTGAATCTTGAATATATTTTGTATATTTTTTTTATCAAGTTTATAAAATTGATATTATGATATTAAAACTGTAATGTTCAAAATTTTTTTTTGTATTAAAGTTGTTATTATTATTATTATTTTTTTGCAATTTTTTTTTTAGTTGTCATTCTGTGGAATCTTATTATTTAGAATAGAATCTAACTGTTGAAATTTTTTACTGTTTTTTTGTGTATCCGAGGAAACCAAATTTAAATTTTACTTGTTGTATTATTAACAATAAAATTACTTTGAACTTTTCAATCTTTTTTACCTCTCCTACAATATTGTACAACATTTCTTCCTTTTTCCCTCAGTTGTTTTACAATCCTCAACATCATATCAAATAAACAGTCTCGACAGTGGCAAAACCTATACAGTGTATATACAATCAAGAATTTCTAACTCCGTTGGTACCATTTACAGTGAAACTGTAAGCGTTGTTGAACAAACAAGTGAGTATCACAGTGTACTTGTTGTAACTTGTAATTTTTGCATGCTTTTGATGCCAAAAATAAACTTTTTAAAGTGTAGCACGAGCAGTTAGCTCAGCAAATGGCCATCTGTGATATTTTGCTACAACATGTGCACCTGATTTTTAGTGAGAATTCTGACTCACAAGACAGTGAGCAAAATGCTTTACTATTTACGGCTTACAAGGTAAGATGTTCACCATGTGTGTTGCTCACAATTTGACATAACTGCATTGGCCAATCATAAATTCTCATTTAACTAGCTTGCTCAAGTAATATGCAAGAGCAGTATGGGAAAATGACAACATACTGTAGATAAGCATTTTTCTCAATGTATGCAGGTAGGCATGCTGTCAAGCAAACTGTCTTCTGAATATGCTGTCTGAGCAAACTGTTTGCTGGGTTAAAAGCCCTGTCCAGACTATCAAATTTTGTTTGACAAAAACATGTCACATGCCTAAATATGGTCATGATGACATCACATCATGACCATATATAGGCACATCATGACTATATATGGGCATGCAACAGTTTTTGGTCAAAGCAATGAAGTGCGATTGGTTACTCTTACAAACCTGGCAATCTAGTACACAAGAAGGTTAACATCTATTCTGTGAATATTATATATACTGTGTTGCAATTATCATTTATCAATGCAATTTCAGATCCCACAGCACCTTACGATATCATGGTACAGGATCAAGATTTTTACAGTCTACAGTTTATGTGGTTGACTGACCCACAAGATGTCGCCGACAACTACCGTGTTACTTTGGTCCGAAACAATGATGGATTCACGATTGAAGAAACAATCTCCGGACGGACACGTTTTTACAATGGCTTGCCATCAGCTACTGCATATACTTTTTCGGTGTTTACAAATTCTGGGGCAAAAGAGAGTGAAGCAAGGAGTATTACTACCCACACTAGTAAGAAGAATATCAAGATTAGAAATTAAAAAATTATTTATCTACAAGGTCATCAGGCTAAAAATATTAATCTGTCGATCCAAAAGTTATTTTGATTGCGAATCCCTAATATTGTGATCAAAAACACAATTTTCAGGGCCATCTTAAATCATAAAATCTCTCCCCATGAACACCACTAGGGATTTTATTCCAACCCCTTGGTTTGGATTCCCTTGTCAGGCTTGTTGGACCCCCTTTCAACAAATTTGGAGCCACCATTGAACGGAAGGTCCCCATTGTGAATGAAAACAATACATCTCGAATTCATTGTTGATATTTATTCACCATCACCAAATATTCTATCCTTATTTTTCATAGGTGTGATACCCCCTGTTATTACCATTGGCAATGTATCGACCTCATCAATTGATTATTCATGGGTGGTACCAGTGACACCACAGTACGATGGAGCTATGTTCTCAGTCAGAGTAACAGGACCTTCTGGTGAAACACTCAAGAACACGGTCTTATCACAGAAGTTCTATTCGCAGGGGATGCTGACACCATACACACTCTATAACTTCTACATTTCTACAACTGTTGGTAACTTGAACAGCGGAATTGCTTCCAGAGTAGTGACCACAGCCCCAGCAGGTATTAATGGGTTGTTCATTTTTATTTTATATCATATTTTATATATTTTTAATCTTAACTAAGATTATTGTTAAAATAGTGATTTTGATTACCTTGAAATTACTGAGGGTACAGTAGATGGCCCATCAATCATTACACATGGGTTACGTATGGATGCAAATGATTATTACACCTCAGTTTACATACGGACCCATATGGATCATGGATTACATATGGGACATGGAGGACATATGGGTCATGGAGGACATATGGGTCATGGAGGGCATACGGGTCATGGAGGACATATGGGCTACAGTACTTATGAGTTATATAAGGGATACATAATAAGCCATGTGAATGCATGTATATGCATTTGTAGGTTATTTGATAATCTTTTTTGATATTTTGTATAATTATAATAATAAAGTATATTGATTATTTATTCATATATGGATTATGAATGAGTCATATATGGCTTGGAAATTATTTACATTTAGATTGTAAAATAACTATATATTTATTCTAGATAATGCATAATATCTTGGATGGCTCATATATAGAATTTGGATGATTCACTATATTCATATTATTAGTGGAACTTACCTTTAAAAAATCAATGGAATTGTCCATGCCAACACTGTATGTAATTAACATAAATCATTATAATACATAATCATTCATTTTGTCACTGTTATAACTCAAAGAAACTTACCTAGTGTATGCTAGGAGGTATAAATACATGCTGTATGCTATTGAATAGCCTATGTGTAAATGAAGAAGCTCTTTGATTGTAATAATTTAAATTTTCCAGTTCCTGATGGTGTAATTGACCTAATAATGGCCGCTAAAACATCAAACCAAGTGACATTGCAGTGGGCATACAATGGCAATATCTATGGTGCATTTGAAAATATTACAGTAAAATATATAGGCTACCAACAGAGTGTAAGTACTGTTTGTTGTGAATGTTAACTCATTGTTTCTATGGCAACAAATACTGTCATTCTTCTGCAATACTATTTAAAATTAGTTTGATATCATGACACCAGATTACAAAGCATAATTGTTAACAGGCACAAGTTTATGAATGAAAAGTTAGGCTATGCTTCATTTACAGGATATAAAGCTAAAGATGTTGATATTTATAGCATGCATTCAATGCTTATGCTAATACAAATTATAAAGTAAACTTTGCCACTTCATAAATTGTCTTCTTAATTGAACAAGAGAGGGCAGCAAACATAATTATTATTTTTTAATTCTGTGAATAGGTTGATAATGTGCAGGATTCTGGAGAAATTGCAATCACTTCAAGGTTGACTAGTTATTCTGTGAATATTACATCACTTACTCCGGGACTTACGTATACGTTTGACGTCAGTGTTCACAACCACATGTTTTCCAGTGATGCTGCTATGGTAACTGTTCAGTTGGTACAATCAGGTATGTTATTACCTTCACCATCATCCTATACAGTAAAACCCCTATCCATTAATAGGGCTGTAGTGTTAAACGATATATTTTCCTTTGAGTCGCGACCAAAAAAGTTTTAAAAGGGGAGTGTCCCAAAAGTAGGGGTGCTACTTTAGCAGTCTCTAATGTTAAGTGTTGTACTGAAAGTAATCTTAATCAGTTTTATCAGTAGAAATCTGTTCTATATCAGTGTATTCCTGGAAGATGTAATTTGTGCCAACATTAGTTTTTGTATGACAGACAATATCTGATATCTTAAATGATTACCGTAAATAATGAAATAAGTACTTCTTTTGAATAAGTGGCGCACTACACATTATGTTTTTTTCGCTAAGCATGGCTCTTGCATAAGGGCGGCTGTGTTTATTTGAAATCTATTCTATATTGAATAGCTTTGTGGCCCTATGAGTGATGGTATTAAATTTCTCACACATTAAATAATTCTAATGCTTCATCAAGTCAAAGGCCTGCATATCATTATAACACTACAATAATTAGCGCCACTTTCAACTAAACATCATTCTTAAAAACCACACTGAAGCTTCCAGAGACATTATAAATTTATTGGATCATTTATTGTACTTATGAAGTATTATTACTTGGTTTGAATGCTTCCACAGCACCCCCGAAGCCATCAGTGGTTTTGTCATCAACACCCAATCTGGACAGATCATCTACTAGTATAACAATACAAATGAGATCAGATTTATTCAGTACAGAGAATGGACCTATAAGCCATATAGTGATAATTGTTGCACAAGACGGAGGTAATTTCATTTTTTTCCTGTCTTCCTTGTGGTTATTTAATTTCTTTGTTTCCTTCTAAAACTGTGTGTAGCTGGGGTGCGTCTGTGTAGTAGATGAGGCCAAAACAAAATTTCTGTATTGGCTACATTTTGCTAAAATCGAAAAAATGATTAGGTCAGTAGGAAACCTTTTTTTTTTTTTTCAAACCAAAAATGTGTTTACGCTTAAAAAGCATTCTAATTTTCTCTTGGCCTCTTATACAATTCTTGATTTTTTGTCTCATCCTGCAACTTAATTCCTCTTCTTCAGATCATTATTTTAATAAATAATAATAATATGAAAACTTATAGTGTACAATCAAAAAAGTGTTTGATCACAGGGTTAATTTCACTATAATATTTTAAAAGATTGTTTTTTCACTCTCAGTAAATATCACCTTCATAATATTTCACCATACAAAGGATGTTGTTTAAATAAATACATAAATCAAATTCAACTAATATACAGTATAAAACATATATAATCCTACACAATATAAAATAATTTTCATTTCCTGGCATGTAAAGTATTCCACAGACTAGTATACCGTAAAACCTTGAATATAAGCCCAATGGACATAATCTCGAGAGAAGAAGCCCATCTCGAATTGAAGGCCCCTCATCGAAAAGAAGCCCATCCAAAGTTTTGTATTCGATGAATACTTATTAAATGAGTTTTGTGACTATCATAGACACATTTAAATTTTGTTTTGGTTAATATACTTAGCACAAGTAGCTGTTGCCACACAACCTTTGACCTACTTCCAAGTTGAAAATCTGGACCCCAGGCCACCATACCAGACCTCAGGAGATCTGAATGTACAACTTCAAAGTATAGGACGTCGTAAGCGCCGTGAGGTATCAACAAACACATTTGTTGTTGGGTCGGAGGACTGCAATGCTCCTAACGTCCCAACTTATTGTAATGGTGAATTGGAACCAAGAACAGCATATCGGTAATTTAAAATGATTTTATTTCAAATATAATATTATTTTTTGATTCTCATGAAATTTACTTTACAAAAATAATCATCCAAACTTTTAAAACCCGGTATAATTATTTATAATTTGTTTTAAACTGATATTAAATGTGAAAACATTATCTTGTCAAATTTAATCTGGATATCAGTAGTATGAAAACTTACCTGGAAGAATTGATATTTTGTAAATTTTTCACTTCTGGACTTACCTAAAAATTTATGGAATAGTCTGTTTCAGTGTGCTGCATATAGGTGGTAATCACAGTCTATCGCACTCCTTTAACTTAAGATCCCATTTTAAGAAAGCAATGTGAATTGGCCTTCATTCAATATAACCCATAAACTACTATTTCTGATTTATGTATATTGTAATGTGTAAATTTTATGTTTTTTTTTTTAGATTCTTGGCTAGAGCTTATGGTAATGACGGATCATACACGGACAGTGACTGGTCAGAACCAATTACCACAAGTAAATATTCTACGACATCTACATTATGATAATGGAAAGATAGTAGTGATGATAATGATTATATTTATCACATATAAAATATCCTTGTGTTTCTTTCTAATGTCTGAGTACTCCTCTACTTAACACTCTGACCGCCAAAGGTTTGAAAAAATAGTATCGGCAATCACCAGACTTATTAGCAAATTTTAACACACTTTCGAAAATTGTTGAGAGTACGTATATGATCAGATTGACATTTAGTGAATGCTACAAGCACTACAAACATTTTAGCTTTACAATGGTACCAAACACTTCATTCTAATCACAGTCTGTGACCTGTAACAGTAAAATGAAAATGACTCACTTTTAGAGATTTACGCAATTTCGCATAATGAAGCTGAGATAATCGCGATTTTGTAAAAGTAAATCAATAGTAAATCAATACCGTTCTACGCTATTGTAAACAAACAAATAGTGAAATACTTACGGTCCAGATTGAATATAGTGTTCAAATTGTTAGTACATATCGGTAATTACCCCATCTATGGGATTCCATAAAAAAACTTGAGACACAGAGATCTCCGTGTTTGGCGGTCAAACGGAGATCTTTATTTTTGGCAGGCAGAGTGTTAAGAAAACACATTTCTTGTGTTTAATATAATACATGACAAAAGGAAAAAATCTTTTGTGTTTATTTTGTTTGCAGATTCTGATGTACTATGGTTTGTCTGGTGTGCCATTGCTGTTGGTGTTCTCTTAATCTTTGTGCTTGTGATTATGTGCGCCATGATATCTGGAAAGTAAGTGCTGTATAATATATACTTAATATATACTTTATACTTAATTATTTTGTTCTAATACACCGGTGTCATCACTACAACTTACCTGGAAAAACTGATACATTCCAAGGTTCCTTTTGGGTGAACTTACCTCAAAAAATATTAGAATCGCCCATCACAGCTTGGTTCATAAGAAAACACAATGATAAACTAATTTCCTTACTACCTTAAGATTAAAGTCAATTTATGTGATGTACTACAAGATATCAGACTTAGTTTTGAAATAGATTTATATTTAACTGCAAATCTGTAGTGGCAGGGGGGCCAACATGTCCGACAGGGGGTTTCGAACTAAGGAACAACTGGAGTCTTAGAATAAAAATACCTGGTTGGGTTCATGTAAGATTTTTGATAACTTTGTGTGGTCCAAAATTGTGCTTCTAGACCACAATGTCAGGGATTGGCAATCAATATAATGTTATTTGGATAGGCAAATAATATTTATGGTCCAACGATCTCTATATTGGATTGGACGATGGGGTCCAGGCCCTTTGTTGGTGACACCACTGTTGCAAATGAAAATTAGAAAGGTGTCATGGGACTCAGGGAGGACTGTTACATTAGCAATTGGTAGTTTATTCAGACAAGTATCACTCCTAACTTTTTTTTAAATAAATAAATAGTAAATAATCATAATCCTGTAATTACAATTTTTTTTTTTTTTTTTTTTTTTTTAAGATGCTGTAACTCAACACCCCTTGAGGAGAAACTTGAAGATGAGGCTCGCCGCAACATGGTTTTCACTCCGATTGAGACTGTACGTATGGTACGCACACAGTCAGCAGCTGTGCCAGTGACAAATGCGGCAGCGGTCCAGTCATCGCAATCCCATCCTTTGTGGACAAGAAGTTCACGGTAATTTTCATTCCATACCATGTGACTGTCAAATCTGCATTTCATATCATATGAATATGTAATTTGCATTTCATATAAAATGTCTGATGAGGCCTGAAAGGCCGAAACGGATCCGTCTGCAGATATTGGGATTCCTTCCAGTGGATGCTTAGTTTATTTTGTCATTCTGATCGGATTTTCTCTACTGTTCCGTTTTAATTTGAATTTTAAATTGTTTTGCATTATATGGCCGTTTGCTGTTTTATGGGTTTTCCAATTTGCCTTTCAAACTTAATAAGTAAATAATATAAAAGTGTTGAAGATGACAAGGATAGGCCTATGTGTAGATAATGATAGTATGTGAATAGTTAATTGATTGTAGTAGTGGTGGTAGTAAAGATGGGGATAATGATATGTTGTTGTTATTGATATTAATGATGATGGTAATAGTGGTGAAAATAAAATTGTTCCTATTTGTCCAATTTCAATTTGAAATCATAAGGATGATGGTGATAATAATGATGATTATGATAATGATGATAATAATTATGATGTTGATGATTTCAATTAATTAATTATTTGGTCCAATAAGCAGACAGAAAATTCAATCTGAACTTAATCCCTGTAGCAGTGTCGGTGGGCCCATTTTCAATGATGATAATGATGATGGTAGTGGTAATGATGCAGTAAATTGATAGTGGTTGGGATGATGATTACAGATTATGATAGTGATGATGATGATGACAATGTGATGGTGATGATGAAGATTTGATATTGTTGTTTATGATGGTGGTGCTAGAGATGGTTATGTCGGTATTTCTGAATGACATATATTTCCTTATTCTTCCAGTTACTACGAGATGTTTGCATTAATGAGCCATCTGAAAGAGGCCGCTCAGAAAATAATGTTCTCAAGAACAGATATAGAAATATCTTGCCATGTAAGTTTAAAATGCTATAATAATATAAATTGTTGTTTGTATATGTGATATTTCTTTATTCTCTTTGATTTTTAAAATATTTTTTACGCTATTAACTATTATACATTTTTAAAAACCTGTTTTTCTCCTTTTATAGTTGATAGATCATCTGTGCGATTGTCAGTCAGTAATGAAGAGGGGTCGGACTATATCAACGCCAATTACATAGATGTATGTGTTGTTTTAATGTGCCATTTTACATAAGTGTTGTTTGAACTTGTCATTTCTACTGATACAAATCTAACGATGACATACAAGTTTAAACCATTTAATTTGATCAAATCTATTTTGTGGATGCTTCATAAAAGTGTAGGCCTAAGAGTTTTTTTTTTTTAACTTTTGGTTTTAAACATTCAATATTCAACATAAATTAGATTATTATAACCGTACAACGGTTTTATCGATAATAAACCAGGTACAATGGTTGTAAACTTGCAGCGAGTTTTCGTTGATGTTATCAACATGACTTCATCAGGCTATGTGATATCTGGCGTATTATTAGTAAAACATTTACACAGTTACAATAAACAAACTAGATCTAGATTAATTTATTAAACATACATTATTGTTTTTGAAATTAAATTATTTTTGTTATAGGGTTACAAACATCCTAAGGAATATATTGTCACTCAAGGACCTCTTCCCGGCACTAAGAATGAGTTTTGGCGAATGGTTTGGGAGGAAGAGGTACCAACTATTGTTATGATCACACAGTGTGTAGAGAAAGGACGGGTAAACAATTTTTTTTTCATGAATTCTCAGATCTTCTAGCATGGCAGAGCATTTATTCTTTTAGTTACTTAATTTCAACCACATGATATGGTTAATTTTAATTTCAAATCAAATTTCAGTGTTAGTAACATCAAAAGATAAAAAGTTTAATTATTTGTGTGATTGCTGTCACCTTTCTATATATTTATTATTAATTGTTTTACATATATACATATACACGTTACAATATAATTACATTAAATGTATGATTGGCCATTTATTTCACTTTAATCATTTTATGTTTTTCTGTTTGCTTAGGTTAAATGCGACCATTATTGGCCATTTGATGCGGAACCTATGGATTATGGTGACATCACCGTCACTATGGTAGAAGAGACACAGATGACAGATTGGACCGTACGTGAATTCAACATCGAACATTCTCAGGTAAGAATCGTAATTACATATATATCTCGGTATCTTTATTCAAAATTTTACAAAAAAAATAAAATCAAGTTGGCAAAATAGAGTTCCTTAGCAGCTAAAAGTTGAATTGGGGACACTCTTCACAAACAGACAATGAGAAACATCAATTTAAAAAATACAAACACAAGTCACATACAAAAATAGATTAAACCCCATTTATTTACAAAAATATAAAAAACCGCAGTCAAATACAAAAATAGAATTACTGTACATTTACTATTTAGGGATTATTTGATTTAACGTACGTTAAATGAAAACAAAGATGAATCTAGTTACTATATACATTTAATTGGGATGTGGACAATTCCATTATTTTCAATGTAAATTCCACTAAGAAGGTACTTGCTCATACAATACTAACTCGCTTTAATGTATGTTATTTAGTTAATTTTATTTCCTTACACTTTTGTTAATTTTTAAATTAGATGAGTGAAGTTCGTCAAGTAAAACAATTTCAATTCACTTCTTGGTCGGACCATGGTGTACCTGAAACACCGGAGCCCATGTTACGATTTATAAGTACTGTCAGAGGTCAGCATCCAATTTCCGAGGGTCCAATGATTGTTCATTGCAGGTAAGGTTATTAAATAAAATAAATAAATATTAATTGAACAGCGAAAAAAAAAAGTCTATATTTTACATAAACATCCAGAATTCATCCTAGCTTTGATTTGACAATGGATTGTACCCTCACTTCCATTTGGGTATGTCACTAGTCTGAAATTGTCATATACAGTACTGACAGTACATATACTATTCATTCTTTTTTGTGTGTCGGGCAGAGGATTTCTTGAATCTGCAGTATGTCTTTATTCAAGCTTTTATTATGCTATGTAAATTGTTTTGTTGCAGTGCTGGGGTTGGGAGAAGTGGAACGTTTATAGCATCTGACATCTTGATGCAACACGTCACGGATCAAAGGAATGATGTGATTGACATTTTCGGAGTGGTCTATAGAATGCGCACGCAACGCTGCTACATGGTTCAAACAGAAGTAATGTCAAAAACCTTTTTATTGAAACCATCGTGTTTGTTTAATGTATATTGAAACTTAGTACTATCTAATCTGTGAATCTACCAACATTTTCCCTAATCAGAACACACATTTTGAAAAAAAACAACTGATGTAGCTTACCTTCCAATTTCAGGGCTATGGGTTCAAATCCTGTCCTTCTCACAACTAATTACAACTCAACTTGTACTTATTTATTTTATTATTATCTATTCAGTATCAATAATATTTTGTATATTTCTTGTATGATGAAATTAATAAAATGATAAATAAAAAATAAAGGATTTAGTATCAGTTCAACCTCTTGTAGCATTACTCACTGAGAATAAAAATTTGTTTCATAAAAAATGTTAATAATAGAATATGAATATTGTTATTAAAATTAGAAATTAGTATCGTATAGTATAACGAATCAAATGCCAAATTAAATATTTTATTCAGATAATGTAATACCATACCACCAGAGGTCATGCTATGGACTATTTTCAAAGGCAGCAAAAGGGCAGAGTTAGTTTCGAAATTGTTATCGTAAATAGTATAACGAATCAACTGCCAAATTACATATTTTATTCAGATAATATAATACCATACCACCAGAGATCATGCTATGGACTATTTTCAAAAGTAGCAAAAGGGCAGAGTTAGTTTTCGAAATTGGATTTCTAGATTAGTTTGTTGATTCCATTTCCTGTTTCCTGGTGTCTTTATTCATTGTGTGTTTTCTACTTTCTAGAGCCAGTATGTCTACATTCATAGGGCAATTCTTGAAGTACTTAAGGGGAACGTGAGCAACAGTAACTGGGTGCTAATGCATCCGGGTACAAGCAGGCCGGATTCAAGTAAGTGGCATTATTACAAATGAAAAATATTAAATTCGGTTTCCACAGGCATGAGAGAACATTCCATAAACTTAGGTGCTGGATTTTGAGCTGTCAACAGTGAGTGTAGTTTAGTTAGCTTATCTAAACTGGTGGTTGCCACTGTATGTGCGCTGAACCGTGGAGATCTCTAGGGGTCCGGTTCGATTCCTGTCGCTGCTCTCCTTGTGTTTCAGCTGGTGGGCTGAAATATAAGATAGCGCACCATCTTTCGGATGAGAAGTTTAAGCCGTTGATCCCATGTGCAATATGACCCCATGTGCACGTTAGAGAACGCAGTAACTCTTTGTAAAAGAGTAGGGGATTGTCTCACGGTGTACTGCCCAATCACCACCAGAAGGACCCCACTGGAAACAAGTCTTTGGATTTGTGGATTATCCTAGGGATTGCGATTCACACCGAAATACTCCTATCCTAGTTTGTATTTTTATATAGTGCCTGATCCTTTAGGTTACAAAGCACTTTGTTTCCTTGATCATTGGGTCCACATGCTTAAGCATTGCTGCTGATAATCAGCGCAGAAGCCGGCAACTCCACCATGTACCCATTTATACTCCTGGATGGAGAGAACCAATGCAGTTAAAGTGCCTTGCTCAAGGACACAAGCTAAATGCACAGCAAAGGATTGAAACCCAGACGTCGATGTTGGGAAACAAACCGTTCCCTCTGCACCCAACCGCTTCCACTTAAGAAGAGGTGGAAATAAGAATGACAAAAGGCTGAAATGCATCATCAAATAAGATATGAAAACATACAAATTGTCAATGATATTGATAATTGTTTCTTGATAAAAACAATTGGCATTAATAAATAAAAATCATAAATAAAAATATATTTTAAGGTTACCACTCAAAATTAGTGTTGTTCTTAATCAGATGTATATATTGAAAATAAGAATATTTACGGTGTGATCTGGAGGGAAAATGGAACTTCCCGGGGTGTCAATCAAACTTAACCTACCGATCAGAATGTTGTTGTTCACAACAATATATCCAAACAGGTGGGTCTTAGCAGAAATGTCTATTGCCCCTGTCTTGTGTCAAGATTGAATTGATAGATATTTTAATTGTATTGACATGTTTTTTCTCCTTTTTTTCCTTTGCAGTATATAGGCCAGAGCCTGAGATGGCTGATCCATATGGTGATGAGATTTAAACAGGATTTACACAGCTACCTAAATCAATCAATGAGTTATTTATAGCGCCATTCAGTCGTGGCTCGTAATAAGTAGTAATACTGAGGGATTAAGAAATAAATAATTTAAGATAACTCAGCCAGATTTTTATACCATCCGTCATCAGTATGCCATCACTAATTTTAGATTAATGGCATTAAAACCGTTTTTTAAATATTCTGAAATAATTAGAAGGAATTATAGCATATGGTTACCATTTAAATTATGTGTACCATCTGACCATTCACAGTAGGAAAACAACATGTATTTATATTTATTAACTGACCAATTAGAGGCAGTAACTAGATGAATGCATAGATATATGTTTTAACTGATTTAGATAGACCAATATTTACTTACGAACATTAACTCACCGATAGATTTATCAATATTTTGTTATATGTATAATTTGTAGGATTGAATAAATTGACTTGTGATTTGTGATAAAGAGGTGGCACCAGAGATTCCCAGGCAATTTGAGTTTGGAGCAAATTTTAAGAATAGGCAGCTGTAGGTGCCAAAAAATTGCACTCAAAATCTTAAAATGCTTTTTCAAAGGAGTGCTTCATATTATTATTATTATTATTATTATTATTATTATTATTATTATTATTATTATTATTATTATTATTATTATTATTATTATTATTATTATTATAATCATTATTATTATTTATAATTTGCCATTCCTCTTTAAGGCTCATGGCACTGACAATGTCTACAATATAATTAGCTTCTTCCCCAACACCGAGTCCAGAATCTCTCGATAGGGCATCCTCTGCCCCCTTGGACCTGTTGGCGTTGCCACTGTAAACTGACCAATCAAACAGCATGTACCAGCTGACCAATCAGTGGCAGTAATAAATAGATATATATTGTTAATTCCATAAAATGACCAATAAATAGACTAACATGTATTTATGAAATTCATCTCGCCTATCGGAGGCAGCGTATAGATCAATATTAGTTAGCCAAGTGTTGTTATATCAGTATGTATTATATAATTAAAGACAATTTATACAGTGTAGATTATCTAGATGTGTATAAGAGACAGCAGAACTGATTACCTTATTTACGGCTATTTCTGACGTGTGACCTATCTTTCAAGACGCGCATTCGGCGGCTCTCAAAGAATTCTGCTATAACGTACACGAATCTATTTTTAGTGTTTTACGTGACATGCTTAAAGTTGTTCTAGCATACCGTGGCTCACAAATATTCGGCGGCACAATAATATGTATGCGTTACCGAAATACCGGCACTGCAATTCACTAGTAAAATGAAATGAAGTTTTCTCTAATAGAGAAAACTTCTTTTAAATATTTTATCAGCAGTGTGAAAAAGGCTTCATTTTAAAGACTAATGTACAGAAAAAGAAACCAAATGAACACTTGAATGCTTTAAATGTAAGATAATGACAATTTTATATCAATTTGTATTTTTGAAGATAAAAGTACTGTACACAAGTTGTGTACATATAGTAAGGGAAAATTTAATATGGATTTATAAAATGCACACAGTTTTTTTTTATAAACATCTGAATAATATTACATTCTGTCATATGAAACAACTCCTTTTTTAAAAATGTTTTTTTTTTTAATACACAAAGAGAATACATGTTATCCATTACTGTCATTTGGGGATGTCTCCTTAGCTATAATATACAACATACAAGAGAACATCATTGTATATAATTATTGTGTGTTATTGCTAATATCTGGGGAAATAATTTTGCCATAGATCAAAAATGTGAAATATGAATTTTTTCAAACTTGCTGCTAATATTACAACAACATAGTAATTAGACTTAAAACTTCGGTGGAAAAAGAGTGGGTAGTAATAACATAATCAGTTGTATTCAAATATTTTTAACTTCTTTTGCTTTATGTTGAAAACTTTTATAACAAAGTGATGACATTGTTTGTATAATTTTGTAATGGATTTTTGGTGTATACAGTCTTTTTTACTATATGTTTATATTATATTTTTGTACTCTTTCATTAATAAAATTTGATATGTAACCAAACAAATGTTGTCAGTGCATTACTAAAGTATGTGTGGCCCAAAAGTTGTATCCGGTGGTATAAGTTTGTGAAACAAGAAGTAATAAGTGTAATAGGTGTGCTTGAAGTGAAGCAGAAATTCAATACAAAAAATAATACATTCAGACTCTTAATACTTAACCCACATGTATAATATAAAATTATAATAATAACACTTTATATCTACATTTTTATACTTGATGTGTTTTGAGTAGCGATGAAAGGACTAGGAATCCATCTTTGATATATAAATATACACACAATTTTATCTAAACATAACCATTTAAGAGTTATGTGTAACTTATAATTTAAAGGAACTGGTCGGCATGTCAATACGGCAATCCATGGCCAGTGGAATGTTTTTCAAAGTCGGGGGGTGGGGGGTGGCGGTGGGGGTGCACTTGTAAGATGAATGGGAATATGAATTGCAAAGGAGCCGATCATACAAAAATCTGCATAGACATATATTTCATATATTTCCTGTCAAGAAGTGGTTCTCTCCACCCAGGAGTATAAATTGGTACCTGGTGGGGTGACCAGGGAAAATAACCGCGCGCTTAATAACCACAAGGAAGATACGCATTATAAATGCCCATACCAGTACCAGTACCAGTGACGCTTCAAAAAAAAAAAAAAGAATAAACGGACTTCAAACTTTTCTACTGACACTTGGATCACCACAATGCCTTCGTGTTCAAGTGGTAGGCCTAATCACGTTCGCCATGAATGTGAAAGGACCCGGGGTCGAGTGTAGGCTGAGTTTTCTTCCCTTTGTCAAATTCCTTCTCTGTTACGTTTTATTTACTTAAAAAATATAATGAAATATGTTTAATGGACGATTGTATTGCTTTCGCTTCCACCTTGTCGTTTCCGATTGATGATGGTTATATTACGGTACCCAAAGATAGTGAAAACACCGATTATGTTTAAATTAAGCTTGTTTAACCCACTTTTTTTTTTATAGCATTTAATGTTGTGAATTATATGTTGGCTATATGCCTAACGAATTATTTACGCTTAAAGATAGGCGTTTCACATCCGTAAAGATTAAACGTTTACAAAGTATTGTAAACATCTCGATGTTTTAAAGGCCTTCATAATTTTTGGAATGATTCGAATGAAAATAAGCGTATGGCTAAAGCCTGGTTTTCTTAAAATCGTTTCTCCATTGCTACAGTTTTTTTTGTTTGTTTGTTTTTTTTGTTTTTTTTTACTGCAATCACGCAATCGGGAAGGCTACCCCGATACGACAAACCAATCAGCATCACCGAAAGCTGTCGGCAATAGCGTGTAGTGATTGTATGGAAACCAGGCTTACTATGTTTTTAAGTTCTGTATCTCCAGCGAAACGGAAAGTTTCGCATCTCACTGAGTTTCTGATATTATTGTAAACTTCTATAAATACTTACGCAGAGGAACCTGATATTTTTATTTTATTTTTTAGAAAATTTGTTATTTCTACATTCTTCAGGTTTCAAACCCTCAACCTAAAGGCTGCATATACACAAACTACAGCTGGTGGCCCATACGCTCCAAAATGGGGGAATATTGTAAGTCATTAAAGATGTAAATATACTAGGAATATAAGAAATAAGACCTGTGGTAAAGTTGGTCACTGGAATTAGAATACAATTGGGCAAGGCTGAATATGTAATTAATACTTTGGATCTTGTTCAAAAACATACGGAAAATCAAAAGGGGTTAGTCTTAGAAAACAACTTGGCACTAGCTAGTACAGTGGATAGCAAAACATCATCACACACATATACTCATATACATGATTAAATTATATACTATTCATGCATTCATAGTGGCTTAATAATAACATGTAACAATATATCCATCATTTATGAAAAGGCCAATTAACTGTTTCGTTCTCCATGTTGAGACCTTCTATCTCAGGTACAAACCATCACAAGTTAATGGACAAAGACATATATTTTCTTTCGCATGGAAAGGAAGGTAGATAAGAAATTTAACTATCCTTTTTTATTTATTCATAATATGGACTGTCTCTTATACACATCTAGATGTGTATAAGAGACAGCCACAATGTCTTCGTGTTCAAGTGGTAGGCCTAATCACGTTCGCCATGAATGCGAAAGGACCCGGGGTCGAGTGTAGGCTGAGTTTTCTTCCCTTTGTCAAATTCCTTCTCTGTTACGTTTTATTTACTTAAAAAAATATAATGAAATATGTTTAATGGACGATTGTATTGCTTTCGCTTCCACCTTGTCGTTTCCGACTGATGATGGTTATATTACGGTACCCAAAGATAGTGAAAACACCGATTATGTTTAAATTAAGCTTGTTTAACCCACTTTTTTTTTTATAGCATTTAATGTTGTGAATTATATGTTGGCTATATGCCTAACGAATTATTTACGCTTAAAGATAGGCGTTTCACAGCCGTAAAGATTAAACGTTTACAAAGTATTGTAAACATCTCGATGTTTTAAAGGCCTTCATAATTTTTGGAATGATTCGAATGAAAATAAGCGTATGGCTAAAGCCTGGTTTTCTTAAAATCGTTTCTCTATTGCTACAGTTTTTTTTTTTTTTTTTTTTTTACAGCAATCACGCAATCGGGAAGGCTACCCCGATACGACAAACCAATCAGCATCACCGAAAGCTGTCGGCAATAGCGTGTAGCGATTGTATGGAAACCAGGCTTACTATGTTTTTAAGTTCTGTATCTCCAGCGAAACGGAAAGTTTCGCATCTCACTGAGTTTCTGATATTATTGTAAACTTCTATAAATACTTACGCAGAGGAACCTGATATTTTTATTTTATTTTTTAGAAAATTTGTTATTTCTACATTCTTCAGAATAGAGGAGAGTAGCCTATATTTCCAAAGCAACTCACCCCACCCTTTCCCCTCGCATTCTCTGCCAATTCATTGAAAGCGATATGCGGGTCTTATAATGGCCGGGCCACTTTAATGCTTCCGACGGCTATAATGAATATCGTGACACCGGAGCTACCTGAGAGGTTGAGTCTGGGTTGTCATCTGTGGAAAGCGCAGCTCTTTTTGCTGTTCATTATTTTCTTAGCATTGGTCATTATTTTGAGATATATACGTAGAGAATATTTAGAAACAACATAAATACTAATATATCGAAAAATGAATATAGTGCCGAAAATATATTAAAATGTATAAATATACTGTACAAAGATTTTGAGTACATTAAGGGCATTAAGTTAACTTTATGCTGCATTCTTTCATGAATGTGTAAGTTTATACAATTGTTTTAGGCTTATTTAAATTATATCGAATTTTACGACTCATGGAGTCACTATATGAATACTATTACACTTTTAATTTATTAAAATGATTTAAATTTAAAATGGTAAAATGTATAAAATACAAAGATTTTAAAAACATTAATGGCATTAAACTTTAG